CTATATTATCCGCATTTTACAACATTTTGCAACGAAACTTTGGAATATTACTAATTTTGTGATGCTCCTTCAAGCTGTGATGAAATTTTTGTCTAGACTTGTTTAGTTCAAAATTTTGTCTATTACGCAAATGGTCAATTGGTATAATAATATAGTCGGATCTGTATAGTTTCACTAAATAAACAGTTTATTTAGTTGATAAAATATTTCAGTTTCAATTTCATACTTTTTATAAATTTTATTAAATATATAATATGCAATTCAGTAGTAATTGTATTGAGTAAGCTTTCAGTCTAATTACTCCACTTTTCTATTTCACTAATGTTAAACCTTGACTCTTGCTAATCATACCATGTATACATAGGTTGGTCATGCAATAAGCGACGATGTTGTTCTACTTAAAAAGGAATTCGACGTCACATCAAGGCGTTTATTCGATACCTTGCCTTGGGCGATACAACTGAACTGTAAACCACTGGGACTTCATGCTCTGTGTGCGATATTTCTGGGATGGAGGATATCTAAAGGGTTGCGAACTTCGAATTGGAGCAGAAGTGAGCTATCAGAGAACCAGATACACTACGCATGCACTGACGCTTGGGCTAGTCTCGTGGTTTATAAAGAAATGAAAAGGTTAATTGATGTTGCCACATGACAAAAATTCAAACTTTCGTTGGTCTCTAACGAAGAGGGCTTCGTTAGAGACCACTATAGCAATTTTTCCTTTTGAACAATGTTTCTTTGTATTAAAATTACCTCGACTTTTCCTTTCAGGGTCGCAAGTGACCATGGGTGCACCTTACCTTTGCCAATAGATTCAGTAACAGATATTCTAGACACAAGGCTGGATTCAAGAAGAAAGAGGCGCAACCGTCTTGTTCAAAATCACAAAGCTAGAAAGAACTTCGAAATTATGGCTAAAATTGCTGAGCAAACTGTAGAGTAGTTTCTTTTAAGGAGTTTTATAAATTAAATATTTTGAAAAATTTCGATGTGTTGCAAAATGGAAACTTTGTTTTCCAAAATTAGGTGACACCAGCCCAGGGCATATTTTTCAAAAGTCAGCAAACTACGAAGCATGAAGCATTGTTTTGGACCCTATCCATGTTTTCCAAATGTGGACAAACATAGAAACATTTTCATCAGTGTAAATATGGATGAGGGCTTACAGTTACAGATCCAAAGCTTTGTCAAATGAAGAATAAATGGTATTTTTCACGTGAAAACCCAATTATTCTTGCCGCCATCTACAAGAACTTATGTCGATAACAAAATGGAAACTTATGTCGTCAACAAAATGTAATGTTGATAACAAAATAAACCTCTGAATTTCCCGCTTCGCCCGCCATTCAAGACAGCGCCATCTTGGATACTGGTTTTTCCAGTCACTTTACGCATTCGAGAAAGCAAGCCGGCTAAACAAAATGAAAATTTAAGTTATTCTCTTCATGTGAACTTCTCTACATACTTTAATCTTTATTGTTTTCTTCAACTAAAATACATTTAAATTTAACTCACTTTTATTACTATCCTAGGCTAAGACTAAATATAATAAAAAAGTTCTTCATTGCCATAATACTATCATGATCTAGAGCTAGTAATTTGTTTTATTATTGTCACTGCTATACCCATGTTCTCCAGTCAATCATTGTTCTCAAGTATTTTGTGCTGAAAAATGTCTATTGTTGCATTAACGCCTTACATATTTGCGAGGACTTATTTATTTACACATATAATGTCTGTTCTTAAATAAATGTGATGCTTTTCTTTCCTACAACAACAACAGGACCACTTGGATGAGATGTCATGTATGAGTCGTACTCTTCACTACTAGTAGTACCCATATTAAAGAACGTTGAGGTATCCAGTTCACCTGTCTCAGAGTAACAGAGAAGGAAATAGGAATTTTTTTGTTTGACATAGGATAAGACAGCTATTTTACCAATAACGTGATGAAATGCTACCCCACGGAACCAGTGACCTTCTGGTAGTTTCATTGTCGACTGTAGATTTCCTTTCTCGGTGAACATGTACACTGCCTTGTGATCGTCTGATGGTGTGATGATTTGATTCTGCTCAGAAATGCTCAAGCTGGGTATCCGACATGAGTCTCGTTTAAACTTGCGTTTTAAATGGCCAGTGTTGTCGCAGACATACACATTGGGATCAGCGTGTTTGATCAAGATGATATTATTGTTCTTGTTTATAGCGACATTTACCCAGTCCAATACAGTTGCTTCGCCAAGAAAGTCTAATGCGCAGTCGTGTGTAACTTTGTAATTGTTATCCAATACATTCAACGCGCAAAGTCTTTTCACATCACCATTTCCCGTACGTATTTCAAGCCTTTTCACCACGTGAATGTTATTATTGTTATCAACTGCAAGTCCTGCAGTACCTTGGTCGATCAATTTACCCTCTCTGGGTCCAGGTAATCCAACCACCTTGTTTTTACCTGTTTTGCAAATAACTTTGATTTTGTCTTCCAAAACCTCTCCAAAAATCATATCCCCATGGCTGTTTACAGCAGATAAAAACAAATCTATTTCTTTATCGACAACCAGTTCATTGCAAGGTAGAATTAATTTTTCACCCCAAGACTTTCTTGACGAAATTTCGCGCCAATCTAATATTGGGTTGAAACTGCGATCACCAAGTTCAATTCCTGTGCCAGGCCATGTTAACCTGTGAGCAAGTTTGCGACTAAATTTGAAATTAAACTGAAACAAAACATAGTTGATAAACATGACAGATTTCACGTTCTTTACTCGTTCCGCCTTGTTTAGCCTCGAGAGGACACCACGACTGACATGCACGGAGAACATCTCGCGGATAGCTGGTAAGTCATGTAGACGTTGAAGAAACGACAGACACCCTGTGATCGCGGTTTCTGGACTTTCGAGATGTTCCAGTATTTCTGAAACAACACGGAGTTTCGCAGCGAAGATTCGGTCTTCAGTACTCAGCGCGTCATTAACGAAAGCTTCAGCTGCTTTCCTACGCGCATTTTCGAATCTTTTCTTAGCGACTTCAAAATCTGTGTCTGAACAGATTTTCATCTTTCCCACAGCGTGAGAAAGTTCTATGGTTTCGTTCAAGATCCCAGACTGAATACTGCTCGGCATTCCTGATGTTTCACCGCGTTTACCTCGTGATTTGTTGAGAGAAGCATTCAGAAAATCTACGCCTTCTTGTAGGAAAACGTAGCTGGTGAGAAGCTCTTTTCGTGAAAGACAATCAAGCTTCGTCTTGATGTCGTTCATTTCTGTCACGACTATTTCGCGAATTTTTGCATCTGTAACATCGCCCTCCTTCAGTTTAGCCGCAGTCGAGTCGCGAACCTTATTCCATAGCAAGCCCACTGTTGAACTTAAAATACCTGTCACGATTGACGACATGCTGAACTGCTATACTCAAACAACAAAGCGATGTTGAACTTTTAAAATACGCCCAAGTACATTCACTCGCGGAGTAATGCCAAGTTCTGCTGAAATATATACTTTTCCTGTCAATGAAGTGGGTGTGTTTTGGGAAGATAATGTAAGGATGTAATAGACATTCATGGAGGAAAAAGAATCTTTGTTTGAATTGCAAATCATGCTCAAGAGGATAAGTAAACATGCTTAACACATGTATCGACGTCTGTGTGAAAATCCACGACGGTTTGCCGGGTTGGTCTTTACTTTAAACTGTATCGGAGTTTTTGTGATAAAAAATGCGCTGTTCAAAAAGATTACATACTAGCCTGCGAAAGGCTCAGACTATATGCCCAAGGGCAAGCATATCATTTACTCGTGTGGAACATGTAAATTTGACTATGACGTAATATTTACGTCAAGTCTGAGCTACGTTCTTTCTTGTAAAAAGGTGTGTTGGAGGAACTGCGAATTATTATCAAGAAAATACGTAAATCGTTACGCTTTCCTGCAGTATACACTCTAGCTGATTTGAAAGTCTGCGAAAAACCTCAAATTGGGTCTGGAGTTTACACTTACATGTAATAGTTTTTGACACCAAAAATGCTTTGACTAAAGAGAAAAGAGTGCCAGTGTATCTCATTGAAAGACATATGATATTATTTTAGAGGTCTGTGAGTGACTATATCTTGCTATATTGAGTCGATCTGTGTATCTGTGATTAGGCCAAGCATCTGTGGTGAGCTTTGGATATATGGACATAGCCTACATGGGCAGGGTTTGTTTTCATATTTTGGTTAGAAACATTGAAATAATTTTAAAATCTACACAAACACCTATTTTATTTCCATTTGACAAGCTTTACTAAAATAAATCATGAATATCTTGAATAAGTACATGACAAACTTTCTATTTTTTATCTTATATAAATAAGGACAATAACACCTTGAAATAGTGGATTAAATAAAGTAAACCATTTAGTCTTTACGACTTTACTTTTAAAGCTTATCACCATTTACTTTGCCTACTACAAAAATTGCTTGAAATATCTTTTTAGACAAATTTTGTACCAAACCCGATGGGCTTTTTGAAATCATAAGTCAAAATACAGGAGATTTTATAGTGTTCAAATATTTTATAGTGTTGCTGCGTACAGTGGCGTAGCCAGCCCGACAATTTAGTCCCGCTATGCAAATTCAAAATTATTATCATTCATTTCTTTTGAAATTGATTGTTTTCACAGTCAATGAAAATTGAAATATTTGCATAGCGGGACCAAATAGTCGGGCTGGCTACGCTACTGGCTGCGTATTTAAAAATAATCATGTCACGAACACAGTTATAATTTGTCTCACTCATGATTTGATCCCAGCAATTCAGTCTGATATGCACAGGCCATTTTTTTACTTTTCAAAACTTTGGCAATTTTCTGAGGCTTGTTTGGTAATTTTGAATTTTGCTGTAAGGTTCGAGGTAAGGTTGGTAAGACAGTTATCAAGTTTATCAGAAATGTCAACACAATTAATTTCACAACTCTCTGGTTTGTTAAACTGACTGTATGCTATGCTTACAAAACTATTTGTGAAACTTTACAATTTTATTGTCAAATGAACCCAACGAAATTGTCAAAAAAGTTACGAAATTTCCAGCAAAATTTAAAATTACTTAACAAAGTCACAAAACTTGTGATCAGCCAAAGTGATCAATTCTAAAGTTAGCTTATCTTCCAGTAGGGTCACTAATCGCAAACTGTTTATCACAAGTAAATGAGACTGTAATTGCAAAACGTGTTCCTCCCTCGACTTTCTCCACAAAATGCTCATTTTCAGATCCGGACGTGAAGAACGATAGCCGACCTAGTCTTGGCTCAACTGTCGTATTTACATCTTTATTGACAAAGACGAATCGACCTCCTGAAAAATCCTTGGCACTATCACTTAAATAGAGTAAGGATGTATAAAAGAATGAACCATAAGTGACCTTATCTATGTGTGGATGCCAATATTCGTCGTGAAGAGTTACAGCGGGCTTTGCTGTCATCCTCGAGAAAAATGTCGGATTTGTCAGATACAAAACATTTGGATCGATACCGAACTTTTGTGCTACAGCCAAAAGGATCTTTTGTTTAACGGACTTGTATATTTCAAAATCAGCTTCGGAGAACACAGGTTCATCACTTTTGCCTGTGATCTTGTAGACATTCACAAATTTGTCTCCGACCGACAAAGCACCTGAGTGCAGGTCAAGTATGGTGGCACCCCCGCTCCCCCCTCCATGACTCATGCCCTTTTCCGCCAACTTTCTCAAGCTTTTTGCTAACTGTTTGCTAACGACCGAGTCCATCACAAACCGTCCACATTTTTTGGGTATACACGCTTTAAACTCGCTGCCGTAATCCTTTGAACAAGTCACAGACGTTGACCTCTCCGAAATATACTCGGAAACAGCGGCAAAAGTTTCAAAATCGTCTCCAATTATATAGCGTTTTAAAAAATAGTCACGGCCGTAAATATAAGCGGCAATAATTACAACCACGGCAACAATTCGTTGGACTACAGACACAGCTGCAATTTCCTCCGATTTGTTGCGATTTTTATTCACTTTTGACGTCTTTTTCTTCGCTTTACTTTGTGTAGTTTGCTTTTCATCCAATTCAATAATTTTAGCCATTTTGAATTTTTGAATGATTTTGTGAATTCCTTTGTAAAGGACTCGGACTCTGAAATTCCTTGGATTTTTCCAAAGCTTTTAAAAAAATCGATTCAGTCAGTGACGTTTTGTCGTTTTCTAAACTTTTCCCCACTTTGTAAAATATTTTTTCGCTAACATGAAGTAACATATTTATTACCCAGAAACTCAATCAGAAAAATTTTGGTTCACTTTAAAAATTTAAAACTTCTAAAAACTGTCTATTAAAATTCCTTTTTTAAGGAAAATCTATAAAAGTTTTCATTAAAATAGATCGGAGTTTATCGACTTGCATCGTACAGTGCCGAGATGCCGACGGATTGCCGGGCATTTCCGAATTTTAAAATTTTTTGCGCGTGGTGAAGAAAGTCTAGAAGCAAGGAAGAAAAATGGAGGACATTTTTTTTGTCAAATTTACCTTTATTGGAAGGTAATATGCTTTCTTTAATATCAATCCCTGTAGTAGAGTACTTAGACTGCCGATATAGATAGAAATATATGACATCAAGCCCGAATTTAAAGCGATATTCCGATTATTTCGGCATAAAGTTTGTGCTTTTGCTTTGCACGTGGTTCGCTTTTGTATGTGGTTGCCGACCTATAAACCGTGTTTTAGTTCATAATTATTATCAAAACTATTGACCAAGTGAGTCAAAAGATGACTCAAGACCTAGAATTGTTTAAGTTATTGAAAAAAATTGTCGTCTCTGAGTTCTTGCTGAACATTTGTATATTATAAAATGCCTGGGACGAATATTTCATCCATTTAGGGGCGGGGGTGTGAATAGTTTTTCAGATCGTCGCATTTTACAGAAAAAATTGTTCAGATTTTGGATCTGGCGAATATTTTACAATTTACATGGATTTGCGGATCTTATTGACGCAGCGGATTGCAGATTTATCTAATATTTTGGCTCGGATTGTGGATTTGGCTTGCAATTTAGTTCGGATCCTGGATTGTGACTTCAGAGTAGAGCTTTTAGCGCTGAAAAGTGAAAATTGCTTCATTTTATAAGACAAAATCCAGAATTCCATTTCTTGACATCGCTGGAGTGAATTTTGATAGTGAAAGACTAGGAGGTGCAGTCATAGATTTAGGTGGGGCTTCTCGGTAAGCGGGCTAGTAAGATTAAAGTTCGTAGGCTGATAGGGCCAAAAAAAAATATGTGGGTTTCCGGTTTCCCGACCCTACCTAGCTTTTGGACATCGAAATTCCGACCCTAAACTTTTTTATTGGATCATGCTTGTAAGTGTTTCCACTTAGAGGAAAAAGTTTGCAGAAAATTGAAATTTGAGGCAATATTAGGGAAATTTATCTTTGGACGTGGAAGCACTGACTAAACAAAATGGCGTCCGCTTGTTCGGAAAATTAAAAAAAAAGTTAAAAAAAAAAGTTAAAACCGATCTACCCTACCTAAGTTTTTATAAGAAGAAACCGGAAACCCACATATTTTTTTTGGCCTAGTGGAAAGTTTGAAAAGAAACTTGTTCAATTTTGAAGCACATACTCCAGGTGGAGAAATAAATAGTTCTATAAAAAAAGATATTTAAAAACATATATTTACTGGTACAGCAGACACCTGGAGTCAAAATGAATTGACATTGGGTCGTTCCAGAAAAGATCCATACCCCCCTACGGAGGAAATCGAAAATAACCCCCTCCCCCCCTTCGGACATCCTTGAATGGTTCATCCTCCCCCCCTCTCCGGACATCAAAGCCCAAAATTACCCCCCTCCCCTTCGGACATCCACTATTTCTAAATTTTTCTAAAGGCTACCTTGCCGTTTGAAAACGTCACCGAAAATTAGACTACGTTCACACTACGCGCAAGCGAACTAATGCGGGTAGAATTTATGTGTGTTCAGGCTATTAAGCCATTACAGTTTGTTTACAAATTGAATTAGCACTCGTATAAACCCAAAATATTTCAAATAGACCCAAGAAATTTAACTGAAAAGCATTCGAGTTTACACGTTTGTGTTCACACGAAGCTATCAAGCGCTCCGCCGTTTCACCTCGCTCCGTTTAGAAACCGTGCTCAAATTGTTACGGCAAAAGTGACGTGAAAGTTTTCAAACGATTTCGCTCCAGCATAGAGTGAATTAGCGATGGCTTATTGTGACTTTTCTACGCTGTTTTCAAAAATTAAAATAGCTCCGGCGTGGCGGAACACTTGGCAGCTTCTTGTGACTTGCGAACACAAACACGTGGCAGGTTTTGCCGGATAATTTGCAGAAATTTACTTCGAAATTCGTTCAAGTAAAATTCGGACAGAAATTCGATGTAACTTGTGACTGATTGACAAGCGTTGCTGTGTTTACTTACATGTTAATGCATTTTTTAGTATTACTGCATTCCTTAACCTCGCCCTTAATATGAAAGCCATTTCTATTTTCTAGACACGCACCTCGCAAGGAAGCTTTATTGACTATATACTAAAACAAATTGTTTTGAGTTCAGTTCACATAGCAGTCTCTTAATTCGAGCAACAGTTTAATAACTATTATTTTTAACACTTGAATAATTCAAACTTATATATACGAACGAAAACTGCAAACTATATATAAATAAAGCGTGTCAATTTTCGACCCATTCTCAACATGCAGGATACGCTGTTACAGCGAGTTAGTTTTTGGTGGCCATGCATGCAAAAGTGGGCCGCTTATTTTGCTTACGAGTTACGTGGACGTATAATTATCGCTGTTACATAAACGTTCCGGTGTTCAAGAGCTACATATAGCCGATAAAAATTGCGTGCTCATTATAATCGCCGATCACATAGCTTTATCACAGTCTCAAACCTTCAGACAAACATATCCACATCCCTCTCCCCCCCTTCGGACATCCTAAGACATTTTTCCTCTTCCCCCCTTCGGACATCCTAAGACATTTTTCCTCCCTCCCCCTTCGGACAGCAAAAATTTCCTCCGTGGGGGGGGGGTATGGATCTTTTCTGGAACAACCCATTTATTCCAATCAAATTTTACGTTTCCAATTTTAAACATTAGTCATTAGTCCTAAAAAAATATCATGTGGTTCAGATTTCAATCCTGAAAAATAAGATAGGTGGGTCAGAAAACAAACTTTCTTGGAATATTTTTTGGCTTGACATTGGCCAGCAATTGCTGTGACCAGTTGACTTTTCCATAATATATAGACCTTTCAAGAAGCAATGGCTGTGGGCAACAGACAATTATTATAGTTTTGGCATCACATTACATCAGAAAACAAACAACAACAAAAAATAGGGTAAGCAAACAACCCAACCACATAGAGAAAAAACAGGGCAGAGAAAATAGGGTTGGCTGGAAAACAGGAACCACAGGATATTTTTTGTTTCGGGCTCTAATGCTCTGCACATGTTAATGAGTTTTTTATCTCACTAGCCAAGCTATTCACATCCTCAGTAAAATTCTCATCATTTGTTATAGATATGCAGTGCATGTTCCGGGATGTCGCAAGAGCTGATCATGATTACAGAAAATGGACACATTCCAAGATCCTGAATAAGAGGTATATGATTTTTCTTCTAATTATTTCTAACCTTTGTATTTCTTGGACAATTTTCTTTGTAAGATAATCTGTTTCATGTTCTCAATAGTGATTTTTTTTAAATTTTCTAGATGTGTGTTGCAATTTCCAAGAATGTCTTGAGTTGTTGGCTGAAGTGTTTTTGATCACAAAAATGAACACTGTCATTGGAAAGTATATAAAAGGTCTTGATATTTTCCCGCCTTATCTTACATGAAATGCTTTGAAAGTTATGTGATTGCTTGTGACCAGTAGTTTCAAAAATCCCAGCAGAATATTGCAAAAATAGCATGACCATCTTACTTAAATAAAAAGAACAATAATAATAAACACAATCTGTAAACCTAAAAAATTGCGAGTTCACAATAATTGCACTCTTTTTATTCTATTATTACACAACTATTTTGATTTTGGACTTCTATTAATTTTGAAAATTTTGTTTTCATGGTCCCTTGATTACTTAATTTAATTATGTTTTGTGTTGCCACCAATCACAGAAAGTCTATAATTTTCAAAGCATATAACCATTTTATGAGCAAGCCAAAAAATGAAAAACTGTTTTTGTTTTGAAAAATTGTATTTTTAACAGTGACAATTAATTCAGTTTGGACATACCTTTTTTCTGTTTGGCATAATAGCTAAATTTTAAAGTACAAAACATATAAATTTATGTTCTATCTCAGAACATAGTTGTTTCTACACCTTTCCAATTTTTTGTCAAAATTTATATATAAAAAATTGAAAAGTTTGTCATTATTTGGCTTTGTGATATCAGTTAAACATTGAGAAGATTGAGGTGTTTTTTATGTGACTTTATCAGTTATAATTCAGGATTAAATATTTTCTTTTAAAGTTATTTTTCATGATTCCGTATCAGTTTTGGGCATGTATTAAAAGAGCATTGATTAACATTTGTCTCATCATAATTTGTGTTTTCAACTTACCAAAATGCTTTGTGAAACAGTAAACTTGTGTTCCAACTCAATCTTCTCTTGTTTAAGTAGACTTTCAAGTGTTTGTGAAAGTTTGGAAAGTTCATCTGAAAATCACAATGTTTGTTTCAATGTTGATTCTAGATATTATTAGAGCTTCAAATATTGAATATTAGAAAAGGCAATTAGTGATCAATTGAAGTATACAATACTTTTAAAATTAGCACTGTTAGAACTGCCTCGTTGTTTAATAGTCTTGTCTTATTTACCCCAGCACACTCTTATTATGAGTTTGATTATTCCTGGATACAAATAAAATGGATTTTTGAGGAATAAGGCAGTTCTATACAGTGTTGCCTTATAGAGGGTTGTGTTCTTCAGTTCTTGGATTCTTTTGGCAAACAGATTATGGTTTCTAACAACACATTTGAACTTTGGAACAAACTTTGTGATTTTGAAATATACTTTTCAAACTTTAAAACAAATATTTTACATTACAAAGTGGAACTTGTTTGAATGTGGATGAACTGAAGCGAAAATGCTAGAAAATGTCTGGCAGCACCAATGCCAGGAAATTTATAGGAATATACCTTTGCAGTAAATTTTCATGATCTTACAGGAAATTTTTGTCATCTTATATAATGGAATGTTGTATAATTTACTAAATTCCAAAAGCATTTTGCAAGTTGAGATTGTCTTTTGCCAAGATTGCATTTATCAGAATGTGTGGCACCTCTTGGAAATCTATCTATTTAGGAAATTTTATATTTGACTTACAAGGGAAATTTTTATTTTTGGATTTTGCTGCCAGGAAAACTAGGCACAATTTTGGGGTAGCATAATATGGTAAATTGAATGTCTCCGTCACAGCAAAGAAAACCACAACCAGTCAACACAATGGTGTTCTTTGGAATATGTTTTGCACTATAGCAAAGGAAAGAAAAGAAAAACAATAAAACAATCAAATGTATATAATTGTCTGGTAAAATTAACTTGATGATTACATCTTCCCAGGAGCCTGGTTTTTGTACATTGTGAGCAAGATGACTGATTATGTTGACTCATGAGGAACAAAACAAATTGATTTTTTGAGTTTATGAGATATTCTTTGGGATATTTGTGGTTAATTCTTGTTTGGCAATTGAAATTATTTTCATTAATTTTGTATGTTCATTTCCTTGGCTTCAGTTCAACTTCAGATAGTTCCACTTTGTAACAGTATGTTATAATAGTCATAATAATAATATAAGAAAACAGGTTTACGTGGCATTTGAACATGGTCTTTTCAAGTGAAGGTGAGTTTATACTTCAAAGAAATTTGTTTTTAACCTGACAACAAAACTGCCCAAAATTTACTAAAATTTATATTTCTGAGCTTTTTGCTTCATGAATAAATTGAAGAATAAATTTCGTCTGTTTAATTGATAACCGATACAATGCGTTTTTTTATATTTGTGTTTGGTTTGTTTTAATGTTGATACTACACATTGATGAGAATGCAATATAATATTTTGCTGTTCAGAAAAATTCTTAGTATTGTATAGAAATTATTTTTCAAAAATACTATATATTTAGTGACCAAAACTGTCACATTTGTCTATTTTTGAGCAACGTTAACAACGTCTTCTCGAAACTTAGTTATATAGAAGTTTTATGTATTGATTGTAAGCTTTTTCCAATTGAAACGTTTGCCTTTTGATCCATATAAAGAAATTATTGAAAAAGAAATAAAATATTATATGAGGACATTAAAACTTGGTTCAACGATATTTCATGTGTTTCTCCACACACTATAGTTTCTACATGATTGACGTCTCCATTTTTAGATACATGTATAGGTTGTAAAACAGAACCATTATTTTCCGAGTGAAATTTAGAAGAGGTTTGTTTTTGAAAGAAAAAAATAAATGATGTATATCGTTTAATTGAATTTACCAAATGTCTAGAAATGTATCCACTTTTTATGTTCAGTTTTCATAAGCAGAGCAATTTTTGTTCCAAAAATCAATTAAACCTAAAGAAATAGCATTTTTAAAATTTTGTTGAACTGTATTTTCATCACTTGAATTATTATTAACATGTGTATAAGCAATTAAAAGTTGTCAGGTTAAAAAGACGCTTAAAGATATATGGCTCTAAAAGACTGCATGGGATAATTTCAAATTTTTAAATGTTTTTTTTTTGGCACTTGAAAAAGCTTTTCATCAAGATATTTTCTTATTTACAAACTTATATATTCAGTTGAGTATGGAACTAATGTCAAGTCGCAATGTTCGTTAAAAATATAATTTCTGGGTTTAAAAGTATGCTGTCGATGCATTATCAAAATGTTTGAGGTATTTTGTGGAAATTAATTTGCTTCAAGGCTCCAGCAATGAAATTTTGTTGTCAAAGACACCTAACCACTTAACAATTGATCTCAGATGGATTACAACGAATTCGAATCGACTTCTCTTAGCATCTAAACATCGCGATAAAAGCATTACTTTCCATACTCAAGTGAAAATTTCGATCACCAAAAACACTTAGTTCGTATCCAAAAATGTAAAAGAATGTTCGATTTATTTTGTCTTTGAGCCATATATATTTTTGTAATTGTGAAACAACTCGATGTCACGCTTTAGATTTCTCCGTCAAACTCGTAAAATTTATCATTAGAGTTGCTTTATAATTATTTATCTTGAAGTATAAACTTTTATCTTGAAAAGATCAAGTTCTCTTGTTTCCTCAGGAATTAACTTTTCAATGTTAATTCATGGGGAAACATGTTTAATGTTGTGTTTGTTCACTTGTGTTGAACACAATGTTAATTGTTCTCCTTGTGCCATGTTCTGTTTTCTTCTATTGTTATTTAAATAAGTACAATATGCAGTGGTTGTTCTCTTTTTTATTGTTATTCAAATTGTAATATTTACAAGTTCTTTTCAATAAATTGTTCATTAATTATACAAGAGACTCCTTTTTAATTAAAAATTCAATTCCCATGGGAATTGAAAAAAAAAATAAAAAAAATCCCTCTACCCCGGCCGGCTCCCCAAGTGCTACCTCTACTTCAAGCAGAAGCAAAAGTACTTCTGCTTAAAGTAGAGGTAGCACTCGGAGAGCCAGCCGGGGTAGCGGGGCGAAGAGAAGACCGACCTTGCAAATGCTAATGCAAATTGCTAAGTTGATCTTCTCTTGAGAGCAGCCACGCGCATACCTAGCGAATGTAAAACAACAAACAATTAGTAACAAATACTCGACATGCAAATTTTGAATCCCATGGCCGAAATGACAAGTGCCCCCCACTGATTCCTACCAACTGCCTACCTGCCTCAATCCTAAGCTGTCTGCCTCGGTCCTAAGCTGTCTGCCTCGTTCCTAAGCTACCTGCATTCCATTCGTAACTTCCGCATTCCTCACCATCGCACAGACACTCACAACTGTCCAACCCGCCACCAGCCCGAACTGCCCACCCTTAAGACTGAAGGAATTAAAATTTTGGTAAAGTATACATAATTAATTTAATTAATTCGGATATTTTAGGCCAAACGTAAACAAATAAATTAAAGGTTGACGAAAACGAAAGACCGCGTATAGAAATAAGGTGAGTTGCTTACTTGCCTCTTTATACATGAAATTTACTTTGAAATTTATACGAAAGTGACGAAACGTCTTAACCGGCATGTTTTTTGCTCCAAATATTTTGATATGGCAGAATAAAGTTAGTTTAAATAATAAAACTCGATAAATTTTCGTGATTTTGAGATATAAAAGATTTTTTAGCAAAGGCACTGGATTGTTTTTAACTTATACTTTCAAAAATTCTAATTCCTTTAGTTTAGCCTAACCCCATGCATCTTATACACACGGCGCACACTCTCACACTCCATACATTTAGCTAATAAATTACCTTATAAACAAAAAAGCAAAATGAAAAGATAAATTACGTTATCACTGGCTGTCCTATAACCCACTTAGACTGAGTTTTTTATTTGGATTCGAAACGTAAAACCTTAACTGAAAGGGCATGGGCTTTAAATTTTATCAATTGTCCGAAGTAAACATAAACCGTAAACTTACCTAAACCAAAGGTTAGGTTAAATAAGCATGAGAATGCATAGAGACTTTGGAGTTCTAAATTTTTTATATGTAAAACTTAAGTCAAGTTATTAGTCATCAATTGCCGCACCAGGTAGTTAAAAAAAAGAAGACTTAATTGTCTTTAGCTATTGAACTATGTTTTTTACGACCATATAGTACAGTTTATCTATATAGTGCACACGCATCGAAATATTAAGACGCAACTTAATCGCAATTCTCATACTCATTTAACCGGAACACCTTAATTCATTTGCATGATACGTCGCAGCTGCTCTCAATTACTCAAATTATTTCCATAATTCGCTTTTGTAAACAATGGCTAATTGTTCCTGCTTACTAAAACAAACCCGAAAGTAACAAGATACGTATTGTATTTAATCAAAGAGGATTCATTATAAAGTCAAGTTCCGCTATGAAATCAACATAAAAACAAAGCACAGTGTATTCCCATGGGAATAAAAAAAAGGAAAATAATTAGTGTTTTTCAAACATTTTCATAAATGCTTGGTAACAAAGGATAGCATATTCCCATGGGAATTAAAAATACGGAAAATAATTAGTGTTTTTCAAACATTTTCATAAATGCTTGGTAACAAAGGATAGCATATTCCCATGGGAATTAAAAATACGGAAAAATAATTAGTGTTTTTCATTTATTACAATTAAAACTCTAAAAAATGTCTATTGGCTTTCGTCAATTTCTATTGTATTTTTTATCTGTTTCTATTGTTTTTCATCAATTTCTATTGTTTTTCATGCTTGAAATCATTCTTTTAGTTGGTATGCTTGTTTATATATGTTGATTTTATTGCGAATACAATAGTTTTATAAACGTACAGGTAACCATAGTTAACAGAATATATGAAATATAAACATGGATTGTTTTCACTTTCAACACCAAATGACGATGAAAAAGACCAGACGTCCACTAGGCATTATTTGACAATGTGCAATTTCTAGAATACACGTTTATGGGTGTCATTGATTATTTCGTTTTCAGAAAGACTACATTCGAAAATCTTCCAAGCAAGACTTAAAATTCAAGCTTTAAGGTATTAGTAACTTTGAAAAATGTTTATTTTAATGTAAACTTAATCTTATAGTTTTTTTTCGTAAAGTAAAACTTAATCCTATTATTTTTTCATAGACACTTAGAAAAATTTAATTTCTTACTGCTAATATCGAAAAACGCTGCGTTATCGCGTATTTGAAGGTTTTATCTGAATATTTTACTTGATTTCGAATGAAAATTCAATTCTTTAGCTTTCAGAAAATATTCAAACTTATAGGATGTTTCATTTCATTTTAGTTTTGCCAAAGGGACTTAATAATCACGTTGATCATTTTATATTCATTTTGCCATGTAATTCTTTTATTGCTTTTTTTTCAACGAGAAACAATTATATTCTTTTGAATCCCCTTTGATCTCTGAATAAGTATCTTGCCTTTAACTTACATTGGTAACATTTTCACTACTTTCATATTAGCAATTCGAGGTTTCCTCATTGTTGCGAAATGTCATTCTTTTCTTGGGTCATATCATCCACGTGTCATTCATTCTGGTCTTTTCATTGCATCGTTACATCGTTGATTCTTTACATCACATCACCTTTTGAAGTTAACCATCGTTGATTCTTTACATCACATCACCTTTTGAAATTAAAGAAACTATCGTTAGAAATTAAAAAGGTTCTTGGATACACGGAACCGGAAGTGCAAGAAAACTTGCATTAGTTTCTAAAGCGCATACTCTTGAATTGGGAATCTTGAACACCCGTAACAATTTTCACAGAGAAATATTACGAAGAAAACGAACTATTTGTGATTACAGATTTTGAATACCAGTTCTCTGTGTATGGAGGGGCATTAGAGACAAAAATATCATTATGTCATTATATCATTCCATTATATCGTGATGCAATAACATCATGTGACGCTACTATGCATTATTTAACCGCAATAATTTGGCGAAGTAACGAAGTCGAGGTTTTTATTCACGATAATCACCGAGCCTGAGGTGAATAATTGTTTTATTATAATTTTATAGGTGATTATTATTTGGGAAAAAATTAAAAATGTACATTTCTTCGTCATTTAATTGACAAAACGGCTTTGGCCGCCATTTCGAATATTGCGTAAGTGATTATCGTGTTATAATCACCTCAACGGCAACCAATTAGTGTGGGGAATTTTCAATAATCACCTTTGTAGTTATACTAAGTCTTCTTATCATGACATTATGTCATAATGCATGTCGTAACTTGCCGCGATATATTGTAATTCATGTCGTAACATGCCGGAAATGGTCGCTGAAAACCCGTCATTGTTTTCGTGGGGGAAAAAATGTCACTCACAGTCCAAATGGCATCCATATATTAATTAAGTGGGATAATGAGTGCGATTTATTCACTACTCAGTTTCTTGCTGCAAGTGGAATACTGTGCATTCTTTTTTTCTTCGTTGATTTCCTCTATTAATTTTATCAACTTTGGTTTAAGGACGCCATTTTGAATAGAATTTGCTGTTTTCTACGACACATATACGATATCATGGGCGTATTTACTGTGGGGTTACCCTCCTGGAATCTTTCTAACCATTCTTATAAAGTGGTCAACCCACCAAAATTTCGCATCACCCTTCTTATTTTGTGTGAAAATCTTTACTGTCGTTCCAATTGAAGTGTTGCTAAAATATTGATTCAATACATTACCTCGGGCTGACCAATTCATTTGATCAAGTTCCTCGAGATATTCATACACTTCCTAGTATAATTGTAAACTTCCTGTTGAATAGTTTGAATGCACCAATCACCTTTGTTGTTTGTGCAACTAACCAATCATAAATAGAAAGGAAGTGACCAGAAATGATCAAATACTTGGAATTGGCTCTTTCACAGGAAGTGTATCAATATCTCGAGGAACTTGATCAAATGAATTGGTCAGCCCGAGGTAATGTATTGAATCAATATTTGAGCAACACTTCGATTGCAACGACAGTAACCCTAACGCCCAACTCCTGCCGAAGCTCGCTTAGTGGTCAGGCCTTAAAATATTGGTCGGTCACGGACATTGTCCGACCCATTAGTGAAATTGTCCAACGTAGAGAGGAAACCACCGGACATTCTGTCCGACCAAAGTGAAACTGAGGTTTATTGTTTGTCCGACCCCAGTGTAATGGTGACCGACCGAACTGTAGCTTTGTCCGGCGTAAATCAAAATGTAACCTAGCCCAGGACTACAGGCTTGTATGTTAAATGGAAAATCAGAGTACTATTGTATAAAAGGTGAACTGGAAATGTTGTTTTAACGTAGTCGAGCGCGGGGCGGCGACCGAAATGGTGAAGTGGAAAGTTAACGGTCTTAAGTTGTCAAAGTCTTTTAATACTGCTGTTCTGGGAAGCAAGTTAATTTTGACTTGGAAATAATGAAAGAAACAAATTATTTAATAATGAATAAACGGTAAATGTTGTAAAGACAACATTTACCGTTTATTCATTTGTGTCATTCAGACTTATTTCCTAGTCAAAACTGAACTGAAGGTCATCGGACAATATGTCCGACCCAAACTCGACGTCACCGGACATTTTGTCAGACGGCCCTGTAAAAGATATTTTAAGGCCTGTTAGTGGTGTCGCTTGCACACCACTAGAATTTTTTCCACCCCTCCTTTTAAAAGAATGAAAATCCGCCCTTGTACGACATCTCTCGGCCAAGTACGGACAGGTTACAGTTACGACATGAATGTTGATGACACGACATAATTGTATACAGTATAAAGAGATGACATATTTTAAAATGACATAACGACATGATAACACGACATAATTACACGATAACCAGTGCCGTAGCTAGCATTTATAGTTGGGGGGGTGTAGGCCAAAAATTTCCGAATGACGAAGAAAATTTCCGAACGAACTTTCGAAAATTCTTGGCGACCTCCCCCCCCGAAAATTTCGGTCAGTGTACCATTTAAAGGGTCAAAAAATTTTTCCGGACATACCAAAAGTTAGATATTAGCTAAAAATTGCCTGAATCTCATGATTTTCGTACAAAAACCATATACTATAATTGCCGTAATTTTCCGAATGGCCATCCCATTTTCCGAATATGTCAAAAGTTGGGGGGGTTAACCACCCCCCCAATACCCCCCCTCGCTACGGCCCTGACGATAACACGACATAATGACATGATAACACGACATAATGACATGATAACACGCCATAATGACATGATAACACGACATAACGACATGATAACCCGACATAATGACATAACAAGACATAACACATGATAACACGACATAACGACATGATAAAACGACATAACGACATGATAAGTTAACACGACATAACGACATGATAAGTTAACACGACATAACGACATGATAACACGACATAATGACATGATAACAAGACATAACACATGATAACACGCCATAATGACATGATAACAGTAAACAGTAAACACGACATAACGACATGATAACACGACATAACGACATGATAACACCACATAATGACATTATAACAAGACATAAAGACCAGATAACACGCCATAATGGCATGATAACAAGACATAATGACATGGTAGAATCAGATAACATTATTGTGTCACGATGTGATGTAATGGAATGATACAATGACATCATGATGTTTTGTCTCTGATGCCTCTCCATATCTGAGAAACCAATCAGATTTCCCCCTTTAATCGTCTAACCCAGGGCATAATATGAACAACTCACCTTGTCAATGTTGGAGGATTTATTGGTTGTAGGTCTTCATCTTGTCTTGTTGCACTCTCTTTAACACAGCGTCACATCCTTTTTAAAACAAATAATTATTTCAATTAGATAATTGATGATGATTGAATAAATTCTATTATTATATATCAATAGTCGAAGTCGCATTTTTCTAGTGTTTTATTGGTTGAGAGCATATCACGTGAGAGTGACGAAATTAGGCTGTCTCCCTCGCAACAGCGCGAGAGGGAGATAATACGTTATCGACCGGCGAATAACAAAAAAATCACGTGCGCCATCACGTGAAGATGCGACCTTTGGACATGCCTAGTATACGTAATTAAAACTTTCGCTTTAAGTATTGACTGCAGTGTAGCCAGTGTTTAATATAACGTTTTAACAATAAAATAGTTAATAATAATAATAACACTTTATTTATTGAGGATAAACAGATAAAGTTACAACTTTTTTCCAATCTGGTCCTCCTAAACTCTATAGACACAACAACAATAACATTAAACATGACTATATTCATTACTTCCTATAGGAGTATGAACAAATGAAATCATGGGTACAATGTAAAGTATTAACCAGTACTACAATTCAGTTGTTCATACCTCGAGAAAGCCCCAATTTACTAATTAGGCAATTTTCTAACTATGTCTAAATTATATTTACAGTACAGTTTAACAAGTCGAAATACGCGTTGACACACAACTCACAAGTGTCTAAAGTGACATTATAAACATGACAGTATTTGACACTTTCTCCATGTACGAACAACCGAAAGTAGATCATGCTCAGCTAAAACTGCAGGCATGAATTTCGGCAGTTCGTACACCAAGAAAGCAACCAACTTATAGTCTTAATAAAAGAGAAAACATGCAAACAAACAAACACTAAATGTTCTTAACAGCGAATACACTGTCACTGATACTTATTGGACTATATACTTATATTAAACAATTAATTGCTGATGATATTTTAGATATCTTAATAAAGCCTTATGCTGTTAAGTTTAGTTGAACTCACGAGTTTCTGACTAAAGTAACTCTTGCAATATGTGTTGAATGACGGCTGCGATGTTATTTTCTTTGCCTCGTTAGGGAAATTGTTCCATAAGGTAGATGCTATAAATGAAAATCGTCGTTTTCCTGCGTTAGATCTTGCTTTTGGGATGTGTACATTATTATTCGCAATAGCTCTTGTTGAATGGTGGTGGGTTGGTTTTTCCATGAGGGTGCTGAGGCATGGTGGACTGATGTCATGTATGCATTTGAACGTCTGTAGTAGGATCCGGTGGCGAATGGTGTCATGAATTGGGATAAGGTTGATTTCTTTGAATAAGGTTATTGATGGGATAGTGTAATCAGCGTTTAGTAGAATCCTCGCGGCACGTTTTTGGGCAGATGTTACACGTCCAAGAGCGTCTGTACTACAATTACCCCAAACGCTACAACAATACTCGAGTGTTGGCTTTGCTATGCTGTTATAAAGGAGAAGGAGGAGCTTGGGTGTAAGGTAAGGTTTGGCTCGTTTCACAAGTTCAAGTTTGTTGTTGTATTTCTTGATAACGTGAGAAATATGGGTGTTCCATGTGAGTGAGTCATCCATGTGCACACCAAGTAGTTTTTCGCAGGTTGTTTGGGAGATGGTGGTTCCGCAGATAGAAACGTTGAGCGGTTCGTTGATGGTTGAAAGTTTTTGTCGTGATCCAATAAGCATGACCTTAGTCTTGTTGGGATGGATGGCCATTCTATTCTCGGAGGCCCAGTTACTTAAGTTGTCAGCACCAGTTTGTAGATGTGATCTAACGGTGTTGATGGATGTCCCTGACTTGACCAAGGTGGTGTCATCTACATAGATGTAGGAATTGCATTCTTTGTTAACAAGTGGTATGTCGTTGATGAATAAAATGAAGAGAAGTGGTCCAAGTGATGAACCTTGTGGAACACCGGTATGTACTGGTAGGAGATCTGAAGTTGCACGTCCGATGGACACTACATTTCATGTATTTACGTTCATTTGTTCTTTAATTTGTTGTTTCTTTGACTATTGATATATAATAAAACACTTATTTACTGAGACCTCGGGAAAGCAGTGTGTTTTGTGGACCCTCGACCGTCGATGTTTCCCTCGGCTTCGCCTCGGGAAACATCGACGGTCTCGGGTCCACAAAACACACTGTTTCCCTCGGTCTCAGTAAATAAGTGATAATTAAATAATAGACAATTCCCATTATAGACTATTTTTTAAACTAGGCAAGGTGATACAAATGTATACAAAATTTGCAAGGCTCTTTACAAGCTGAAATCCTCATTTTTTATACTGACAAAGCTCTCATTACAGTATTTTTCTAAAACACGGACTGGACCCGGAAAACGCGGAGTCCGCGATTTGTAAAACACGGACCGGCTCTGTCCGCGATTTGTAAAACACGCGGACTCACACACGCGGACTGAGTCCGCGTTTTACAAATCTAAGTACAGTAATGAGGAACTGATTAGAATTTCTATTTCATATTTCTCGCAAATTTATAATAACCATTTTAATTAATACGCCACGGACGCAAAACAATCATGCAAATTAACTCTTATCATATATTGCTATTGTTTGTGGAAACACTACGTAAATTTACTACTGCAAAGCTTTCGATCCGTAAGCCCGGATCTTCAACAGTGCTAATAATATGATGAAGATCCGGGCTTACGGATTGAAAGCTTTGCAGTAATAAATTTACATGGTGTTTCAACGACAACAACAGTAATATATGTTTTATCGCCATGCATGCAAACCTACAAAGAACTTATAACTCTATCATATTTGTTGGGATCATAAGTCAAAACCGCAACCGTACCATTATAAAATGAATGTAATCAAGAATGGCTTCGTCTAATTATGATTAACACTAAATGGTATCTGTTATAAGAGCTAGTATTATATGTGCAGGCTACAACTATTTAAATAATATGAAACGGCCACACTTGATGTACGCATGAGTTTCTAGGGCCTATATCAGAAAAATTCGGGGGCCCGGGGCAAATTTTTATTTGGGGGCCCCTAGTTTTCCCAAAAATGTTGGACCAATATCTGTTTTTCGGACCAGTATCTGTAAACTTTAGGTCTAAAATTTAGGTCAAGAAACGTTCCAAATTATTTTTTTATTTTTGCAAATTTCGCATGGGGCTCCCTTAAATGGGTGCCTGGGCCAAATTGGCCCCTTTGAAAGGCCCTGTGAGTTTCCTCGACAATAGTGGCACAAAGTGCCACATGGCTGAGCGTGTTCCTAAGATTGAACGCTGTTCATCTGTTTATTCAAAACAATAAATAAATAATAGTAATTTATACCAACTTTAGCCCCAGGATATGATTATACACAGAATTATGCCGCAATTTCCGCCAAAACTCTCACGACTGAATCAGTACAAAGTCCGCGGTACTGGACTGAGTCCGTGCATGATTACGAAAACGTTGCCACGATTTGTAAAACACAGACCGAGTCCGTGTTTTACAAATCGCTGACTGAGTACGTGTTTTACAAATCGCGGACTGAGTCCGCGTTTTCCCGGTCCAGTCCGTGTTTTACATGCCGTAAAATACGTACAGTTACGTTATTTCCACAAATTGTATCAACAAAACTTACATTTACTATACATCTTTGCATTGTTGTTGCTTCTTTTGGTCACGGTTCGTCATTTTGTTGATGGTTCCGTCATGGTTGACGCTCTCTTCATAGCACATCACAACACGTCCATCCAGTGGGTCACAAGTGCATTCAATGTCACGTAAACCATCATAAAATGAGAAAATGTCATTAATTCACGTTACAAAACACTCACAAGATAAAATTAACTGTTATTTTAATTCCAATTAGAATGTTAATGAACAATGTGAATTATATAGAACTAGTAAATGGAATCTCGTTGATTGTGATTAACATCGACAAACCTTACATTTGCGATTCTTGTTGCATCTTCGCAGCTTAAATTCGTAATTGATTTCGTTGGTCCATGTCGTTTATATCACTCCAGGGTCTGCTTTCCAGTTTTCTTCACATTCTTTGAGAAAAAGCAACGAAAATTTTAGAAAAGTCTTTACAATAGAGATTAATAAAAATTTTCAAAAAGCTCGCTGTTCACGACCAGCGAGCTTTCATTTTTGAAAACGTGGTATTCAACTGTAGATGACTGTACTAGTCGAAACGTAGAGTATAATGTTATGTTCCATGTTAAAAAAATAAGGAGCTAATTAAAACAATTTTTGTAATATTTAACAATTGTATTTTCTGAAATTTGTTTTTCTCACCATTTCCAATGCTCTTGAATTAGGCATTATCCAGGTCCTTTATTTAGGGCGTGACTTCACCACAGCTGTTGTATGGATCTGTAATGTATGCAAAATTTTAGATACAATAATAGAACTAGATGTGCTGCTCTCTCCATTGGTCAGAAAAATCTAAAAGATCTAAATTCTAATCAGAGGGTAATACATGCTAAAACGAATGGTCAATCAAAAACTTGCACTATCCAATACAAGTATTTCTGTATTAAATTAAAACAAGAGAGATAAAAATTAATATACCCGAGAGAATTCAAGCCTCATCTTTTCAGTCGCTGGTTTCATCTTGTATGGTTCTTCTACAGTCTTGCTGGAGAAAACATAATAGTAATTGTATATGTATATATGTATATATATAGAATAAAAATGAATGAATATCTCTGGTTCGGGGGGGGGGGGGTTGTTTGTCAGGTTTTTGGAAAGAGGGATTTCCTATTTTGCGGTTAATTTATTTTTTTAAGATGACATCCACACCATTTAGAGTTTTGACTTAACAATAATTAATTGTAGTATTTTGGGGGTATGATGATCAGGTATAAATTTTGACTAAAATAAATAATTTTCGTAAATAAAATATTATACTTTTCCATACTTGAAAAAATTATAGGAGAACTTACGTCTGTAATAAATATCCTATATAGCTGATGTCCAACCCAACTAAAATTATTTTCGGTGCATTTTTCAGATTGGAGAAGAAGGCGACGCCATCTTGGTTTCGAATTCGTTCGACCTGGCCGAATTTGTCTTCGCAATTTTCTGCCATTTCTTCGTCATTTTCTTCAAAATTTCTTCCAAACGTCTCTCTCACACGTTTCTCGACATTAATATGGTATTTGATTGGTATTTATACTCGTTCCTTGCCAGAAAATCAGTGCTTGTGGTTCATTATTTTTTGGTCGAGAAGCGCAGAAGCCGAAGGTCCTTCTTCTTCGAAGTGCAGGGGCATATGACGTCAGAATACGATTGTTCACTGGCAAATACCCGTATGTATAATGTCTAATCTTGTAAATACGAAGCTTTAAAGTTTAATTCTAGCTTAAATAGATGGTTTTTAGCACTAACATTGAGCTCAGATATTCCTTATATTTCTTTCCTTTATGATTTATATTTTATTTCGCTCAAAAAACGCTCCTGAGGAGCGTTTACCGTGGGTTTTTTTTATTTGCATGCTAACGAGTGCGGAAAGACAAGTCCGATTTGTCGGTTGAGTTTAACTTTTCCTCCGTGGCCGAATGGTAACGGCAACTGTATTGGGAAAAGCCACGCCCTTTGGTGTTTGCTGTGGATCGTCCCTCGCTTGCGACAATACAGGGACGAACCTAAACGGTGTGAGTGACTCTCGAAAACAGTTGCCGGTACCGATAGGCTACTGAAGGAACGTTTAAACCTGCAGTAAATTTCTTCTACTTAATCATTTACCTTATGCTTGCCAGCCGGGGACCTGCATTTCGGGGGCCACCCAAAACAACAAGCTGCCGTGCAAGAAGGGCAATACAATTGCAGTGTAAGACTACAACTGTACTGTCCTTCGTGCACGACAGCGAGTCGTTTTGGGCTAAACGACTAGATTTGTAGGACAAATCTAGTCGTTTTCCAAAAAACGACTAGATTTGTCGTACTATATAGGGCCGATTTCGTTGCAATGATTGTGGTGCACTTTATTTTCTTGCTTCTGCGCAGTCGTATCTTTTTGAATAAAGTTGTATATGGTACTCAAAATTTGTCCTTGAAAGGACCATGTATTCTTGCGTGGTTCCGGGTTAGACTCCCAGAGCATTTTATGTACTTATATACAACTTTCTTAGCGCAACTCCATGCAAGCTATGGAGAAGCTTATGATGTAAGTTATCATGGCCGACATACCAATGATAGTATTTTTATATAGAGGATGAAATGTATAATAAACTGCAAGGTTTGTTACTGCATTTACTGTGCCAGGAATTGACCGAATATTGTTGTAATCACCCACTCACAATTACGTAATAGTTATGGCTGTTTCTTCCACAAGTAACAACGGAGCTTTAACGAAAGAGTCATTCATAAATCCTTCGGTTTATGAGGAGTGAAGACCATATGTATTCTAAGTTAGATAACAATAACGAAACTCCGTGTATACCATTTCGCAACTTACGATATACAACTTACTTACGGACGATTGAAAACGAAGTTTAAGCTACAAGGTTTAATCTTTGGTTAGGAGGATAAGATAATAATTTGGAGCGTGTTTCATGTTATATTTAACCGGCGCAAATCACAATATTTGAGTTTTCGAACATATAAGAGGCCGGTTTAATAGCTTTGATATGTTATGAATTTCATCGCTGTTTTACTGTAAACTCTGTGTAAAGTGAAGTTATACTATATTTAGGCATAGCTAAATTTTAAGCTGAACACTCATTTCACTCCAGATGTTTATAAACTCAAATGTCTATAAAAGTTTTACTTTAGTTTGCTGTCAATGCCAACATTTAATACATGCACGAGTTCATTGCATCACGTATTGTGAAACGAGACACAAACTTATAAAGTTTTATAAAGTATTGGACAGCTTATTTTCCAAATATTATGTTATATTTTTAAGCGCGTGATGCTCAAGCTTAAAATAATGGCGGAATTGCCATTCAGCGTTTGCGTATCAAACCAAAGGCTTCATAAATTACTCCTATCAAGGACACTGCATGTTGATAATGCATTTTAAAGCCCCGTTGAAATTTAGCTATCCCTATATAGTATAACTTCGCTTTATACAGAGTTTACGATAAAACAGCAATGGGATTCATTGTTAACAATCAAAGCTATTAAACAGGCCTCAGTTATGTTCGGAAACTCAAATGTTGTAATTTGTGCCGGTTAAATATAACATGAAACATGCTCCGAATTATTATCTTATCCTCCTATCCAAAGATTAAACCTTGTAGCTTAAACTTCGTTTTCAATCGTAAGTTGTATATCGTATGAGTAAGTTGTATATCGTAAGTTGTATATATCGTAAGTTGCGAAATGGTATACACGGAGTTTCGATATTGTAATCTAGCTTAGAATACATATGGTCCTCACTCCTCATAAACCGAAGGACGTATGAATGACTCTTTCGTTAAAGCTCCGTTGTTACTTGTGGAAGAAACAGCCATAACTATTACGTAATTGTGAGTGGGTGATTACAACAGTATTCGGTCAATTCCTGGCACAGTAAATGCAGTAACAAATAACCTTGCAGTTTATTATACATTTCATCCTCTATATAAAAATACTATCATTGGTATGTCGGCCATGATGAGTTGCCGATCACAACTTGCCCCATGAGTTGCGCTAAGAAAGTTGCAGTATATGAACATAAAATGCTCTGGGAGTTTAACCCAAAAACCACGCAAGAATCATGATCCCAATCAAGGGCACTTTTCAACATCATATACTGCTTTATTCAGAAAGAAACGACTGCGCAGGTACAGAACGCAAATGTGCACCATAACCATTGCCACAACATCGCCCATATATATAGTACAACTAATCACTAGTCGAAGATTCGACTAGTGATTAGTTGTACTAATCGCTAGTCAAAACTAGTGATTAGTTGTACTAATCACTAGTCGAACGCCCAAAGCTACTAGCTTGCCGTGCACGAAGGAATTGTCCTTCGCACGGCAAGCTTGTTGCTTTGGGTGGCCCCCAAAAGGCAGGACCCCGTCGGGCAGTATTAAGGTAAATGATTAAATAGAAGTAATTATCAGCACGTTTAAACGTTCCTTCGGTAGCCTATCGGTACCGGCAAGTGTTTTCTAGTCAGTCACACCCTTGAGTGTTTGGTATCGCGCCTGTGTTGTCTCTAGTGAGAGACGAACCAGAGCAACACCAAAGGGCGTGGCTTTTCCCAATACAGTTGCCGTTACCATTCGGCCACGGAGGAAAAGTTAAACTCAACCGACAAATCGGACTTGTCTTTCCGCACTCGTTAGTATGCCAATAAAAAAAACACGGTAAACGCTCCTCAGGAGCGTTTTTTGAGCGAAATCAAAATTAAATCATAAAGGAAAGAAATATAAGGAATATCTGAGCTCAATTTTAGGGCTAAAACCCCTCAATTTAAGCTAGAAATTAAACTTTAAAGCTTCGTATTTAAAAGATTAGACATTATACATACGGGTATTTGCCAGTGAACAATCGTATTCTGACGTCATATGCCCCTGTACTTCGAAGAAGAAGGACCTTCGGCTTCTGCGCTTCTCGACCAAAAAATAATGAACCACAAGCACTGATTTTCTGGCAAGGAACGAGTATAAATACCAATCAAATACCATAAAAATGTCGACGAACCTGTGAAGAAGGCGTTCGGAAGAAATTTTTAAGAAAAGGACGAAGAAATGGCAGTAAAATTGCGAAGAAAAATTCTGCGAGGTCGAAGGAATTTCAAACCAATATGGCGTTACCTTCTTCTCCAATCTGAAAAATGCACAGAAAATCACTTTAGTTGGGTTGGACATCAGCAATATAGGATATTTATTACAAATGTAAGTTTTCCTATAGCTTTTTAAAGTATGAAAAAAAATTATTTACGAAAATTTATGGGTTATTTTAATAAAATTTCTTATTCAATAATTGTAAAATTTTAATTAAAAGTAATATATTTCTGACAAATAATATCACTTTTTCTCTAGCTGTGAAAGACTGTATAAAAAGTAACGTACAAAATGAAACCAGTGACAGAAACGATGAAGAAATAAATTTCATTCAGGTATATATCATCATTAATTTTTATCTATATGCTCTTTAATTGGCTTTATAATTCAGTTCCGGCTTTATTTAGTTATTTCATAGGCAGCCCAATGGCTGGCGTGTCAAATATTTAACTGAAATATCCAATTTTTTAATTGTGCCTGCCTTACTCAATGCCGGTGACGAAAATATAATCTAATCTAGATGACAACGCAATTCAGCTGTGTAGGCGGGTTGCTGCGACGTTCGGCGCCCTTCAATGAGTTATATGTTGTTTCTAAGATTGGCAAAAATTAAATCAAATTATACATCGCTATACCAAAAAATACTCGAGATGGTTGATAACCTGAGCTAAAATGATACGAAAATGTAAATCTATGATAGTTTTTGTGTTTGAATCATTAGACCATATAGGCTTAGTACAAAAAGATTATTTTAATAACTACGTTTCGGAGTATAACTCCATCTTCAGGTTAAAGCTTTAAAAACAATTACAAATATTTTTTTAAAAATTGGTAATTGTTTTTAAAGTTTCATATCTTTAGTTACTTTTAACCTAAAGATGGAGTTATACTACGAAGTACGTAGTTATTAAAATAATCTTTTTGTACTAAGCCTATATAGCCATGATTATTCAAACACAGAATTACTAAAATGCGGCTTAGAGAAAGTTCCCTCATACAAGATATGATAGTTTTGTAATACATTTTTACAATTTTTTTGAAAAAAATGAATTTCTAAAACAAATTATCCATGGCCGACTATTCTGGATGTCTGGAACCCGCTACAAAGATGCGTTTCTCATGATAGGTACTGTACACAAATCATTTCGCTGCATAAAAATTGACAAATTGACCAATTTTGTTCACAATTTGAGTAAGAAATTCAGGGATTTTTTATAATATTAGGAAAAAATCACAGACCCCACGCGTTTCTATAGCGCAGTATAGGAATTACCTTACGGATAACAAATATAATCAATAATTATATGCACTGAGTGACGTCGCGTTGCAGCACAGTTAATAGAATACATAGTTTGGAGACTCGATGAAAGTACGATATAACTCATTAACTATGTTGGTTTCGGTTTATGCAAAAATTTGGGCCTATCTCGTCACGTGTGTATTGTATTTTTTCCCGCACAACCAATAGCAATGTTTAAATTGAGCATTTGTTCAAGTTACGGATGGATAACTCAACCACAAACTTGTTATTGGTTAGTTGAGCGAAAATACAATACACACGTGACGAGATAGGACCAAATTCTTGCATAAAGCTGGACAATAACATAGTTAATGAGTTATATTGTACTTTACGAGTCTCCAAACCATCTATTAAAATAACTGTGGTTGCAGGCAACCAGAATGGCATTGTATTTAAATTATTTATACATTCTTTATATTTCCTTCATCATTTAATTAACGAGATAGGAAAAATATGAAATATTTTAGTCAAATATTCAATCCGCTTAAATAAAATAGTATGAGGTTTTTGTCGCCAAGGATACTGTCATTAGGATTTTGTCGATGGGAATTTTGTCAGCCTCCTCTACAGGCCCTCGTGCCTCATGGGAAGGTCACAATTTCTAGACGGTAAACAAAATGACGTCGCGTATACTCATGCAAAGCAACGCCACAATTGCAACCCACGTCATAGTTTGTCAGCACTTTCTCAGCATGAATAAAAAGTTTCGAAGCAATTTTTAATGCTAAAATTTTATTCGAGAACTAACGTACCTAGTTCCTGAAGGTTTAAAGACCATGTAAAGTCCGTTCTGCGCATACGTTCTGCGCATACGTTCTGCGCAGGCTTACATTCCAATGGCCGGCACCCAACCGTTGGAATGTTATTAATATTTCGCATCTTTTGAACTTTCTTGAATTGAATCTCTAGTCTGTATATATTTTGACAAGCATAGCGAACCAGAAGAGTGTTAAAAATTCAGTATAATATATATCTAATCATATTTTACAACTGTAGCACTGAGTTCAAAGTGTAAATAAAGCGTTTGTTTACATTACGGACTTTACATGGTCTTTAAAAAGCTGAAATGAATAAAAAAAAAGTTTTGCGTTTAAAATATACTGATAAATTTTCATTGTTGCTACGCGTTGCTAGAGAAAAATGCAACTGGCTAATCAGATACGATTTTGCCTAAAGCTGTATTGCGGTTGGCTGAAACGATCGCTAGTTAATTATCAAGCTTCATTACTGCATATTTAATTGCAAAAATAACGACTAACTTTTTACAAGATACCGAAGAGTCTGTAGAATATGGGTGTGACCATCCCATGGTGCAGCTGGGCCTGTGGAAGAGACAGGGGATTTCCGGTGAAGTTGGGGTCATGTCCGTGTTCCTATAGATCCTCTAATACCCACCCCTATTATCAGTATACTTTAGTCCGCTCTAGAGGCGGATCCCCACTAGACGGTTTTTGAGACGATCGTCATAAAATTCGCGACGATTTAGAGAGAAGTAGAGATGTACTAGAAGCAAGAAAGAAATATTGGCGATCGTCTGGCGCTCGACGAAAGTAGAAGTTAATCCTACTTTTCGTTGAGCGCTAGACGATCGTTCCTCGAACTTTTTTTCAATTGCGCATGTGTCGTCGCGAACTGTTTTGACGATCGTCTCAAATATCGTCTAGTGGAGATCCGCCTTTATACCTAATTGGTCTGATATTGTTACGATTTTCCTAAAATTGTCATCGTTTATTTTCCTAAAGGATGTATGTTAAGGAAACTGGATGCGCCAATCAAAGACAGAACACAAAGGGACAAGCAGTGTCGTAGAGTGATAGACGACGACCCGTGCCCAACCGAAGCTGCGAAGATGCAAATGTACGGTTTGTCGATGTTATTTAGGCGAAATAAAAATAAAATGGCTAGCGTCACCGCCCGCCTGTTGATTTTTGCCGCCTCCGAATTTTTTATGTAAATCTGTTCGCTTTACACTTTAAAACACTAGTTTAATATTTGAAATTTTTATCATACTCAGACCTCGCGCTATATACTGACCTATACGTAGGTTCTTCGCAACATCAGTACAAAAGATATCGCTGACATGGCGGAAAAACCGCCCCCATCCCCCCAAAAAATACTATTAAAAAAGTTAAAAAACCGCCCTCCCGTCTCTGAAAATTTGTGAGAGTGTGACGCTAACCAAGTATTTTTTTTTTTGGCCTTATGTTATTCACAATCCAAGAGTTGCAATTAAATTGCAACTCCTAATTGCAAATATATTTTGACATTCTATTTGCATGGAGTTAAATTAATTCAACTTTTTGCAAGTCTTTTTTAACGCGAATTAATAAAATTTTAATTTCTCCTTATTTTACGGTGGTTTACGTGACATTGAGTGTACTTGTTACCCACTGAATGGACGACAAAATGACGAACCGTGACCAACAGAAGCAAAAATGCAAAGATGTAAATGTCAGTTTTGTTGATGTAATTTATGTTGGAAATAACGTGATGCATATTTTACTCACTTCAATTGCCACACCCATTTTTCCTTGCAGTTGTGCATTTCATTCTTTGAGTTTGCCCACTCTCATTTGTGTTCCTAGATAGATCGTATTGTTTTTATTAATACAAAATTTAGCATTTAGTAGTATTCCGCATGTGAATTCAATTTATCAACCTTTCTACTATACATCGCCATAGCAACGGCAGTGGTGTAGCTTTTGTTAAAAAATTCAAACCATTTAGATGTTGTTTTACATCAGTTAGATACTTTTTCAACAAATATAGTAATGGTGCAAAAATACGGATCTAAATGGTGAATTTTCCATCTTTTAAAAACTGTATTGAGCCACCTTAATATTATTCTGCACTTAATAATTAACAATATATTCGCCGAATGCGAGGTGATTATCTAATAAATATTCACCGAGACGAAGTCGAATTGAATATTCTCCAATGATCACCGAGCCTTAGGCGAATTAATTTTTTAGTATTTTTATATTTTAGTATTTTTGGACTGAATTTATTTTGAATTCGCCAATTTCTTTATCAGTAATTTCCACAAAACGTCTAGCCGCCATTTTGTAAATTTTGGTTTTGTTATATTCACCTGTAGGTGAATATAACAGCTTAATACGTCAAATTTTACCAATGAACTTGTAGGATTTGTTATATTAACTTGTGCAAAAATACTAATAACTAAATGTTTTCTACTACATCTACCTTACGGACAGTTCAATCATCTAATGGAAATGTTCTTTTATTTAAAAAGGATGTGATGAGGTGTGAAGAAGAATCCAGCCAAAGACTGTGGAACGACCAGGTACAACGCGGAACGACCAGATGAAGGCCTACGTACAATCAACATATCTTTCAAAATTGCCAAAATCAATGTAAGTTTGATAGGACAAAATACGTTTCTGAACATCAAAGAGAATTCCAACGATTTTAACCGCTTCTCAGGACATAGACGGATTTTCTAAGGTTGCAGTTGGGTGCACACCCACCTTAGAAAGTTTCCCCACCCTACCTAAAGAATTTTGGGTTGAATGCTCATTAAATGAAATGACAATAGTATGATTTGAACTAATGATTTTAAAGTTTAAACTAATTTAGACGAACGACAAGGATTTTGAAATAAATAAACATAAATTTCGAAATTTAAATCGCCCCCTTACCTCCAAACCTGAAGCCCACTAGGGATTGTGCCCCAGATCTTTACCCAAAAATTTTCTCCCATGCACAGAGCAAAATCTGAAAATCCGTCAATGTATGGGGATTCTATAAAGTTTTCTCTCATCTTGTTTTAGTGTTCTATTAAAATTCATCAATCAACATAATTAATTTTATAAGCTCTACATTGCAAACGGCTATTGTGTATTAATTCATGAGAAAACGAGAACGGAAATGATAATATATCTGATAAAACTGTTTAGTTGCAATATAAGGGTAACATCTTTCTGTTACTATGAAAATATCATCTTTTTAAACGATTATTTATACATACAGCATTTGCATAAATTATGTACTGTATAGGGAATAATTTATTGTAATTATTATCTAATGGATACATTCTTTTAATTTCAAAAAGTACTAAAAGATTTCAAGATGGGGAGAGCAGAGTAAATGACTCATGGATGATATGCACCAAAGAGATGAATGACAATCGATCCGTAACAAAAATGAACCTGCACGAATTGCTAATATGAAAGTAGTTACCCTTACTTTACCAATGTAAGTTAAAGCAAGATACTTATTTAGAAATCAAAGGGAATTCTAGCAAATACAATTGTTTCTCATTGAAAAAAGCAACCAAATTAGATGGCAAAATTAATATATGAAATCAAAATGTTTATTATTAAGTGATTTTGGTAAAAACAAAACTAAATAAAAAATAGAGTTTGGCAAAATATTTCAGTGTACATAAAAATTGTTTAAAAACATAGAAAAAGTATTGGAAATTAGAAGTAAAGAATTATCATTTTATAATAAAATTTAGGATTTGTTTGACATTAAAACTAATAATATTTTTGAAGTAACGTGAATGTTAAACTCGAAATTTGCCCTTTTTATTGTAGTCTTTTCTGACAACGAAATAATATGTGTCACTTACAGTTAGGTAAAATAAACATGGATTCTAGAAGTTCAACAAAAAGTTTAAAAAAAATTAAGTAATATTAAGTGCAAATTTCAATTTATTCATCTTCATTAATTTCGTCTTATTCACAGAAATTATCGGCTTGTTTATATTCTACTAACTATGGGATAACTGTGATTTTTTTAATTAAAAGTCTTTTATTCACAATGAAATCAACATACAGTATAAGCCGAACAGGAGGATTAAAAAATATTTCGAGTGTGAAAAACAATAGAAACAGGTATATATGATTTTCTGTGCCTTTAATTCCCATGGGAATATATTATACATTGTTTTTGTGCTAATTTTTTGCATACGTGAAACGTAATATTTTATGCATGCGCGAAAACAACAGTTATTTTACAACTTTACTTTTTTTCCGTATTTTTAATTCCCATGGGAATACACTGTGCTTTGTTTTTATGTTGATGTGTTGATTTCATTGTGGATACTGGTCTTTATAATGACTCCCCTTTGATTAGATATGATAAGTATCTTGTTACTTTTGGGTTTGTTTGTGTGCGCTAAAGCAAATTACGGAAGTGGTTGAGAGCAGCTGCGACGTGCCATGCAAAATGAAGCCGTTCCGGTTAAATGAGTATGAGAATTGCGGCCTTTAAAATCTGGATCTGTTTGAACTCTATATGCATGCATTGTATATACTAATGAAAATTAAACTATATAGGAATTTATGTTTTGCATGCAAACTCCTATATATTTTATAGATAAAGACAATCAAGTTTTTTTTCTTTTTCAACCCTAATCAGTGATGACAAATAAGTTGACGTAAATCTACGTTTCTATACTTTTAAAATAATTTCGTGCATTCTCATTCTTATTTGACAGAGTGTTCGGTTTAGGTAAGTTTAAGGTTTATATTTATTCCGGACAGTTAACAAAACTTAAAGCCCATGCCCATTCAGTTAAGGTGTTATATTTCGAACCGGAATCCAAAACTCAGTCTAAGTGGGTTATAGGATAGCTAGAGATATCGTAATTTATCTTTTTATTTTGCTTTTTTGTTCATAACGTAATTTATTAGGTAAATGTATGGAGTGCGAGAGTGTGCGCCGTGTGTATAAGATGCATGGGGTTAGGCTAAACTAAAGGAATTAAAATTTTAATTGAGAGCATATTTAACGAGAAAATTTATCTTTTCTGAACAAACAACGAATTCCCTAACATTGGCAAAATTTGTTTCGTTATTTAAACTAAAATTATAATAGGTTAGAAGAGAAAAATCCAGGTTTCAAGGTTCCGTACATTTTTCTATGTAAATTTCATGTAGAGGCAAGTAAGCAACTAACCTGTTTGTATGCGCGGTCTTTCTTAATCGTCAACCTTTAATTTATCTGTTTACGTTTGGCCTAAAATATCCGAATTACTGAAATTAATTATGTATACTTTACCAAAATTTCAATTCCTTCAGTTTTTGAAGGGTGGGTAGTTCGGGTGGTGGCAGGTTGGGCAGTTGCGAGTGTCTGTGTGATGGTGAGGAAAGCGGAAGTTACGAATGGAATGCAGGTAGCTTAGGACCGAGGCAGACAGCTTAGGATTGAGGTAGTTGGTAGGAATCAGTGGGGGGCACTTGTCATTTCGGCCATGGGATTCAAAATTTGCATGTCGAGTATTTGTTACTAATGCTTGTTGTTTTAATTTGCTATAGGTATGCGCGTGGCTGCTCTCAAGAGAAGATCGACTTAGCAATTTGCATTTGCAAGGTTGGTCTTCTCTTCGCCCCGCTACCCCGGCTGGCTCTCCGAGTGCTAGCTCTACTTTAAGTAGAAGTACTTCTGCTTGAAGTAGAGCTAGCACTTGGGGAGCCGGCCGGGGTAGAGGGATTTTTTTTATTTTTTTTTTCAATTCCCATGGGAATTGAATTTTTAATTAAAAAGGAGTCTCTTGTATAATTAATGAACAATTTATTGAAAAGAACTTGTAAATATTACATTTTGAATAACAATAAAAAGAGAACAACCACTGCATACTTATTTAAACAATAATAGAAGAAAACAGAACATGACTGGCAATTAACATTGTGTTCAACACAAGTGAATAAACACAATCAAATTATAGAACTTGTTTGCTCGCGAATTAACATTAAAAACGTTAACTCTTGAGAGTTGAGGAAACAAGCGAACTTGGTCTTTTCAAGTTAAATGTTTATACTTCAAGATATATAATTGTGAAACAACTGTGATAACATTTTTAGTATGATGGAGATATCCAAAGCATGACACAGAGTTGTTTCAAAATTAGGAAATATATGGCTCTTTCAGTTATACAAGGGACTAAGTGCCTCTGAATTTCACCGATAATGTGAAAAGTGATTATTTTCTCGTGATAATTTGATGCTTCGAAATGCAAGTGCATTGTCATTGTAAAAAATCTTGCCGAGAATTTTCAAAAAGGAATTGTTCCTATAACAGAGCCATATATAATTTAATCTCTGTTTTTAACCTGACAACATTGAATTGATTATAATAATGTCATACCCTGCATACACTTGAACGTACATTTCAACTTTTTTTAAATTTTGATTGATTAACCAGAAACGTGAAACACTTATTTTTTCGAACAAAATCATGTTTCAATTTTAGTTTTCCCAAATAAACGGAACATATATTCATTGCAGAAACAAAACTGTTCAAATGAATTTTACTTCAAAAATACCTTTTTGGTTTTACAATTTGTACTGTATTTTTTATCAATTAATAGCCAAGACATTCGAATACAGAGCACCAACTTCCAAAAATATGTGTTTTTTGTGGCATTGGGGTGCATACAACTGCATGTTAACAGTTTTTTCTTTATATAATCATGTTAAAAAGTCAAATTATATTCATTTGGAAAAATCTTACTATTTTAAATTAATTATGTAACTGAAAATAGGATCCAATTGTTGCTAGACATTGCCTATAGTAATTTGAATCCATACAGAAATTTGAACCAGAATAATAACATTCTTAACATTTCCAAAACAAATAAAATATTATTTTGTAATTTCACAAATTTTGTATTTTCAAAAATTAGAAGAAACCAAACACAAATATCAAAACGTATAATACAGATTGAAAATATGAAATATCATCAAGACTGGATTTTTAATCAATTTTGGAGGGTATTTTTGTCAGGTTAAAAACAGACCGTCTTTGAAGTATAAACTTACCTTTATTGAAAAGACCATGTTTGAATGCCATGTCAACCTGTTTTCTTATATTATTATTTATTCGACTATTATACCACACTATTACAAAGTGAAACTATTTGAAAATATAGTTGAACTGAAGGCATGGAAACAAACATGCCAAAAGTAAAATATTAATTTCAAATGCGAAAAAATTTAACCACAACCAGGCAATAAAAGATTAAAACAAAAAATACTCCAAAGGGTATCTCCATGTAAACTGGAAAATTAAAATAAAAGTAAATATTTTTTTCATCTTTCATTTACAGCATGTTAATACAATTGCAATGTCCTTTTTAGAACTGATGAAAAAAAAATTGTAGCTAATAATTAAAATTTAAGCAAGCTCTGAAATTATTCACAAAGAAGTTCTTTGAATCAAACATGAAATTTTAATAGCAGTTCACAATCTCCTAAATTTAATCAAGACATTTGAAATAAATGGTTTCCATAAAAAGTGACACAATCCATACAGATGTTGGAATTTTGAATCAAAATGAATCAAATTGTCTAGGGATAATTAGCTTTGCAGACCTTATCCAAAGTTCAATAATCTTAATATTTGGAGTATATCAATGCACCTTATATATAGCATGATGGAGCAATTCATTACTTGTCTGCCCCTAATCCTTGCACTTAAGTTCTAATTCAGAAAGAAAAGAAAATCATCCTGACATGCATATAACATATTTTTACCAAACAATCATATTATTTTGAATACTTTTCATAGTTTATTCTTTGCCATAATTCCAATATATACAAAAGTGTCTGGTTGTGGTTCTCCTTGCAAATGTGTGAGAATCAATTGTCTTTTAGTTTTACGATCATGCAGGTACATACCACCCCAAAATTGAGCATAGTTTTGCTGCTTCAGTTCACATATATTCAAACAAGTTCCACTTTGTAATGAGTAAACAGCTTATTCAGATTTCAAATGTTTGTTTTAAAGTTTGGAAAGATACTATTTCAAATCACAAATTTCACCAAAGTTTAAATGTGTTGAAAACACACATTTTGTCGTCAGTCAAAGTATGAAAGATCAATTGAAGCATTAACAACCTTGTATATATGCCAGCCAACACTCAAACTGCTTTGTTCTTCAACAAATACGTTTTATTCAATATTCAATGACTTTTGGCTTATCTAAAACTAACTTTTCAAGGAACATTATGATTTTCAAACAAACTTTCCAAACTCTTTAACAAACAGTGAACATTAATTTAATTAAAAGACTGAGGTGGTAAATCATGAACCCAAGTTTAAAATGTTTTCAAAATTCTTTTTGATAATCAAGTTTGTAGGCAAAATGTTCATCACTGTTCTTTTTAATAATTTAAATAAATGGAAATATTACTTTAAATTAATACCAAAAGAAACGTGAGGTTAAATTAAGAAAACACTGAATCCTGAATGAAATACCCAAATGTTTTAAGTCACTTGCAATTTCGTTTCCATAATAAATTTTCTTGGCTTCTGATAAAACCACCACAACCTTTTTCAAGTTCAGTTGACATTACAAAACCAAAAAATGACAAACTTGCTTGTTGTCATAAATTACGATACTTTCATTTTTTTTTTAAATAATGTAAAACAACTATGTTCTCTTCTATTGTCTTTATGAGATGGTTATTGTTCCAAACTGGAGAAATGTGTATCCAAATTGAGTAAATTGATTCATATAAATTAATTTTTTAGAATACATGCAGTTAAGCAGTTTATCATTCTTTGGCTTTTGCTGAAATTAAAATGCTTTGAAAATTTAAGATTGCCTATAATACTTACATGTTTAAATGAATAAATTAGTGGTTTAATCAACCAATATCCAATTTCAACACCAGGTAAAATATGTAATAATAAAACAAACTTTCTACACTGTCTGTGAATTTTTGGTTTAAGATAATAAAAAAAAGTTTTTATAATTGTGACAAGTGATAAAAGGATAGGAATGATACTATATCGCCCAAACTCGCATTGCATAAAAGTTGTGCATTTTTTGCTTAAATCGCCTAAACTCGCATTATCTCCTTGCCCTTGCAATTTTCCACAATACAGTATCACAATGTGCACACACACTGATCATCAGCAATCACACAATTTTCAAAGCATTTCATATATAAAATAAGATAAGAAAATATTTTAAAGACCTTTTTATATACTTTCCATTGACAGTATTCATTTTTCCTGATTCACAATACTTCAGTCAACAACTTGGACTCATCTTGGGAACTTGCACTGTACATATATATATCTAAAAAATTAAAAGTAATTTTTGAAAACCTGAAACTAGTTACATTAATAAGAAACACTAGAAAGTACACTTTTGTACACCAACTGTACAGTTTGTCAACAGGCTTGTGCTGCTACTCAATGGGTATAGCCAGTAATCTGAAGCTAGATTGAAATAACACAATGCTATGAAGTAGCTATAAAATTCAACAATAAGTTTTGAAGTTTTAAAGTTTCCAGTTTGAATTGAAGATAGCTGATTACTATGTGGTTCCCTAATTTCTGAATCCAATTGAACTTCATATATACAGCACATAATGCATGTTCATTGTGTTCACACATAATGCATGTTCACAGTGTCTCAATTTTTAACAAGTTTAAACCAGTATAGACTGTATGTTCACATTGGAAAACATGTGTGTGCCTTGTTATCTTAGGAAGATCGTGGGGAAATTTGATAGCCGTTCCTTGCCCAACAGTGGGGATTTTGACGACAAAATTTTAAAAATGTCAAAATTGCACTGGGTTGCCCGTACCCCCTTCAGGGGGAAAACATTGATAGGTGCATAACAATTACATACCTTTTAGTTCATTATTAGTAATCAGCAAATCTTCAGGTAACATCATTAAACATTCTTGGAACTTGCAATATATCTACACAATCATGTTTAAGAGAGTTTTACTAAGAATTGGGATACTCATATTTTTGAATCATGATTACATAAATATGGCCAACAGATTTCTTGTTTGTGTAAAATTTGTCCTACGGCCCTATCCCAACAGAATGGCCATTCATTGATGATTCCACTCCACCGGGCCTGTTCTGGGTATAATCGATTTCAAAACCCTTCGTAAACGGTTTTCACCCAACCCTCTTTAAAATTCGTTCATTTTTGCAGAAAAGCCTCGGAAATTTCTGATCTTTTCTCAAACCCCTTGGGCCTGTTGACAAAAGTCCATATTTTATATATTAACAAGGGAGAATTTTTAAATATTGATTTATCAAGGAACAATAATTATAAAAAGCTGGTTCACGTATGTACATTCTGAGAGTCTGCAAATTTTATGGTTTCCCAATGAAAGATCTAGAAATGCTATTCAACAGTCTTATAGTTTCACTTTTCTTCTACGCTATTCAAGTGTGGGGTGGAGCATTTCAAAGTAAATATCTCAGTCGAATAGATAGTTTTTTTAAACGAGCAGTACGCTATGGATACACGACAAAAGCCCTAACTATTAATAACAGAATTAACGATAGAGACATGAAATTATGGAAATCAATCACGGATAATTCGAACCATTGCCTATATGACTTGCTTCCACCAGAAAGAACAAGGCAATTGCGAAACCGTGGACATAATTACATTTTACCACGTATACGCACTGAGCGTTTTAAGAGTAGTTTTATAATAAACAGGTGTCTTTTTAAATTTATTTAAAATTGTATCAAATGTTATATACTATATAAAAATCGGTCAATGTTGTAAACTCGCACGTTTTGTTGCGCAGTATGACTTTAAATAAAGACTTCTATACTATACTATAAAAAAACATTGTTTGGCCTACTTGTATTAACTACTATAAACGATGAGTTATGGCAAATACATATACGGATTGCAAAGATTATCAGTTGACGAATTACTAGTCGGTCCATAATTAAATGGCCGCCATTGTATTTGAATATGTATAGAGCTCGTTTTGAATCCGTCAAATATCTTTGCAATCCTTCAGGTAAATATATTAGATTTAACTCGTTTGCAGCAGAAATACATGAAACAAGGTTTTTTTGTTTTTCTTTACACTTTCACAAGACAACAACAAAAAACTTTTAATTTCACCATAAATAATTCACCAATAAACAAGTACAAACTTTATACCGAAATGTCGAGCTAAACTCGGGCTCGATTTCCCAAATATTTATATTTACCATCAATCTAAGTACTCTACTACAAGAATTGACATTAAACAAAGCATAATACCTTCAAATCTATTCAGGATTGATCGATGCAAAACCTCCAAAAAATATTTCATTCTTGCTTCTTGTTCACCACGAAGAAAAGGTGTGATTCGGAAATCTCCGGAACTCGGTCGGGAACCAAGAAAATACGATGGCAGTCGGTAAATGCCGAGCAATGAAAATTAGGCGCGAGATTACTATAATCGCAGAATCGGAGATTGCATGGTTGAGCCCAGGGTTGTGCCAAATAATTTAGCAAGATTTATAATGATTAGGATATTTATGTTGTACGTTTAATATTCTTCCAATACGAAGGCAAACAAATAGAAATATAATGTAATGAATTATGCATGTACTCGATCCTGATTTGCCCATTTTCAAGAAACATGGCAAGGAAACAATGCATGCTTCCTGGATTGCCCACCTTCGAAAACCAAGGGTAGGAAACAATGTTACCTGGTTTGCTCGCATACTAAGAAGTAAGAACCATTTCTCGGGAACTATTTTCCTTTTGGTCATGTTTCCCAAAAACGAACAAAAACCAAACACTATTTTCAATCCATATTCACTCATTGTTGACAATTCCAAAAAAATTGTGGCCTTGTCATATTTTCTGAACGTGGGAAAACCAGGAAACATTATTTCCCAGCCAAGTTCTTGACGGTGGGCCAGCAAACTAGGATACATTATTTCCTAGCCTGTTTTCTGAAAGTCCAAGAGTATCCTAATAAACCGTTTCCAAGGCCTTTTATGAATAAAAATAAATAAAGTAGTATCTTTTAAAAAGTAGTGTCATTTGACCTTTCATAATAATAATAATATCGCATAAAATCCTTACAAACTATAAGTTTTAATTTTCTTTGATTTTCGCATAGGTTTTTTTGAGTCCAGTTTTCTCTTTCGACTTTCCTTCTTGGCGACATTTCTTTTCATTTTCTTGGCAACGCTCGCTTCTGGGTTGGCGACCATCTTAACAGGTTTAAAGATACAATAATTATTAGCGAGAAATATTCTAACACGTCTTGGGATTCGGGCTCAGGCTCGGTGATTTATTATCGTGAATAAAAACCTCGATTTCGTCTCGGTTTTTATTCACCGATAATCACCTCGCCTTCGGCTTCGCTGAATAATTGTTAATTGCAGTGAAAATACAAAAAGTGTCCCACTTCCGCTTCTGTAGTTTGTTGTGATTTACTGTAGTTTGTTGCGATTTACTGTAATTGGTTCTGTTTTTTTCTGTAGCGATTACCGATTTATCGGCAAATACTGCGATATAATTTAAATTTCGTACCTTTTATGCAATGAACTAGAGAAAAATGTATTATTTTCCTTCGCTACAAATTATCATATTTAAAAATAAAGAAAACTAAGTTTTATCGCGGTATTTGCCGATAAATTGGTAATCGCTACAGAAAAAATTACAGTAAATCACAACAAACTACAGAAGCGGAAGTGGGACACCTTTTGTATTTTCACTGTAATGGTATTTTCCTGTGCAAAAGAAAAAATAAAGTGTACCATAAATGGTAAATATTAAACATCATGGTTTTTACTAATCTAATATATGGGAAATATATAATAGTTTCTACATTCAAAAACTCATCAATGGACATTTATTTTTTGCCGCGATTATTTTTAAATTCGTCACTAATCTTTACACTGACACTGATATAGATGCATAACATGTTATAAAACAACGCACGTGATTGGGATGAGGAACAGGACTTTCGTCCCAATTAATATCTGACCCCTTATAACTATAGGCACTTCGTATACTCTCGGTGTATGAACGAACGAAGGCCCTAACTGAAAATATAGCGGTTCCCTGAAAGTCCCCATAACTTTACATCACTGTATATTTACAAACATTACAAACACTTAGTACACAGCAAATCAACATTAGCTACGGGTATAGGAAGTTTGTATATATACATTATTGATTTGCTATTATAAAAGTTAATTAGGAGTGTTCTAAACGAAGATAAACTATAACAAGTCTTTATCTCGGTGGGTAGACTATTCCAAAGTTTTGCTGATCTAATAAAGTAAGAGTTTTTGAAGTAATCTAGCTTGATTATGTTTTATGATAAGATGGAAGCCATTTTCGTCGTATTTACGTGATTTATAGCCAGGGTTGCAAGAACGTTATATTTATTCATATACTCGTGCCTTATCGATTACTTAAATAGTTCCAAATGGTTCTCACCTCAAACGCATTCTGCATTTTCCGCTTTGCCCTTGCTTCGGTAGCACTCTGCTTTGCTGCCGTGTAAGATTGAGAGAATATTTCGTGGCCAACAAGATCCTTAAACAGTTCTGCAACCTCTTGTACCAACTCCCGTAGTTTCTCGTCTGTAAAACAAAACCACCATGTATGTGCTAAATTGTCTCTATAACTCGTTTTACAAAGCTATTCGTGGCTAGTATAGTCATTTATTATACTGGGGCGAGGGGAGGGGGGGGGGAAGACTTACCAACAAAAGTTGATCCACCATCAAGTTCGCGATAAACAGGTTTGAGCATTTGAATAAGATATGGACGAACACCCTCGCTACCCAAGTACGATCCAACGGCAGCAATCCAACGGAATACACTGAAACGCTACAAGAAACACAGATTGACGATTTGAAAATTTAGCAATGAATAGACTAGATCATACCACTACGTGTCTCGTTTAGTATGTACCAACCTTTTGAGTCAATTTCGGTGTCTGTGAAGACTCGTATTTTGCGATATTGCACATCTTGGTTAGCAACAATGATATTGTCACGTGACCAGAAGCCTCCTCAGTTATAGGAGACACAACAAAACCGTCTGAAATTTCTTTCTCCGTTAATGTGACGAGTTTGCTCAAATAAAACATATTCTTTACGACCTGCAAACGGAGAAGCCAAGATTTAGCCGAATATTCTTTTCTAACTTACGCCCAGCATAACTAGCTATACTATGCTTAGAAAACCTGAGCTAAACAAAGTTAGTCATGTACTTGATAGCTCTAGACTGTTCTCCTAGAAGTCCAGTCAGGATCATTTAATCAGCGTTACTTCATGCAGCAAGATTAAATTAAACAAACTTTATTTATTCAGCATAGCTCCACCAGTTCTAAACTGTTTTCCAATTGTTCTAAGAGAGGCCACTATGGTTTTGCATCATAGAAGAAATTTGCTACACCATGCATCTCTCGCATTGTTTAGCATCATTTGCTAATCCATCAATATGATGGTTTGATATTTTAGAAGAACTTCGCTAAACTATCCACCTAATCTGGAACTTGCTAAAAAATCCCCTGAAATGATAAAAAATCCCTAAACTGTTCTTCCTAGAGGTCAACCAAAATACATCAATTATTGTTTTAATATTACTTGTTCACCAAGTTCAGGATCAAGATGTTGTGTTTTCAATTGTTCAAGAAACGCTTCACAAAGCAAAGAAATCTAAACAACAACAAAAATACTGTACGTTAAAACATCTGCTGTATATAGTGAAAAAGAAGATATGCTCCGAAAACTCAAGCAAGGTCTTTGTGTTGTATTTTTTTGTTAATATTTATGCAAGCTTGTGCATGGTGGAGATAATGAAATCGTGGTATGGTCAAACAATCATCTATTTGCATCAATTGCAAAATAAAGAAGCAACATTTTAAAAGATTTGTACACTGCGAAGCTCTTTCAACATAAAACCATATAGACGCCTTGAGTTTTGAGAGTTTCCATTAGGGTTAGGGACTAAATATAAGGTCTACTTTTGATGCACGTTTTTAGGATGCAAAGTACTAATTTATTTCACACCTTCTTCCCAATGTCTATAACCAAATATTCTTCCATGGAGCTTTCTTTCGATAATTGAATCAAATCCTCTGGACTGTGTTGAGAAAACAACAGACCAAACAAACGCGATGCCATGAACCGCACCCAAGTGTGAGGAAAAGTCAAATGACTCAAAATTGAATCTAAAAAACAACGTTTGAATAATACAAAAAATGACGCCAAACATACCAGTTGAAACAAAATAATGGTTAAAATTAAACTCTTACCCCAGGCATCCGCAGTCATTTTGGCTTTTCCTTTTTCTTCCAAAACTGAACATTCTTGCAAGATTTTTGTGAGGGTCATCAAAGCGTTTATCAACAAATGATCACTTATTGTCTCCTTTTGTCTCCCTTCGTCCTAGATTTAAACAATGGACAATTTTGAAGATCAAAAGTACACCTTAAAGCCACGGCAGTTTGTGGCTATAAAGGTTACAAGATTTCAGTTTATCTTATAGCCACGGCGGTTTGTGGCTATAAAAGATGAACGGATTCCAGTATAGCTTATAGCCGGCGGTTTGTGGCTATAAAGGACACGGAATTTCAGTATACCTTATATAGCCACTGCAGTTTGTGGCTATAATGGATACCTTATATCCATGGCGGTTTGTGGTATATAAAGGATACTGGATAAGGCGAATGATAAATAACCAAGTAAATCCCTACCTGGAATCTTTAAATACATAAATATACAATAACATTCCTATGAAATACCTTATCATTGTAATTATCTGGCTTTATAATGTCAAACAAGAGTGGTAATACATCAGTGAGACGGCGGTCGAACGACTTGCTTTCCACCTCAACGAATAATCCACAAACATGACAGGACAGTCTTTGAAGACTTGTCTGAAAAGAAAGAACACAAAAAGTTAACTTAAGTTTATGTTACCCTTAGCGTCGTTCGCCAAACTCGATGAATTTCCTAATTTTCGAATTTCCTGGTGACAGTAAAATCCTAGTTAATTTAAATTTAAATGTGGTGACAGTACAATCGATCCTTGGTACTTTAGGTGCAAAAACGTTTAATAATTTCAGCCACACGTTGCCATTAGAATAGCAAAAAGTGAAGACACCTTTGTGATTTTCGAAGCCGAACTTACGTAACGCATGCCCAAGGCAAGCATGCAATACAAATTTATCCCAGAAAGAGCAACTATATAATACGTAGAATATGCCCTATTTACTTTCCAAAAATGCTATGAAAGGCAATATTGCTTGAGATTGCTACCACGTGGACAAAACAGAAATGCCTTCTTCATACATACATATCTATATACCTTATTCTCGTTCATCCAAGTCATAACAATGCCAAACAAATTATCTCTCCGTTCGACATCGAGCTGCAAATAAAATAAACAAAAGAAAATTTAAAACATCACAAAGGCCGGTATTTGCTGGACCAACCTCGCAAGCCATGGTAATTTCGCCGTATTTTTAGGGGGCAGCCCGCCCGCTGCGAAGGATCATGGCTTGCGAGGTTCACTGGAAACAATTTGAAAATCCATAGAAGGTCATAGAATGGAAATTGTAGGGACCTTCATTGGAAATAGAATGGATTTTGGTTATCCATAATTTCCATAGTATGGATATAGTATCGAAATAGTATGGATATACTATGGATTTAGTGGTGCAATTGCAAATTTCGTGGTATGGATTTCACTTTTTTTTCCAGTGGTTATTACTGGACCTCTAGGGAAAACAGTTTAGAGCTGATAGAGCTATCCAGTATATATAAAGTTACTTAGCATAGTTTATAGGTTTCCTCCTGTAGTAACACTGGATCAATAAGGGATGTTCCTTACAGAGCCCCTAGGGCTAGGGAAGATAGCTTAGAACTGCTAAAGCTATCAAATAAAATTAGTTTAGGTTAGCGGCTTCTGTAGTAAAACTGCATGGACCAGCAAGAGAGGAATCTTACTGGACGGCCTCTATGCAGGGAGAATTACATTATTCCTGTAGTAACACTGGATCAATAAGAGATGATTTCTACTGGACCTCTAGGAAGAACAGTTTAGAACTGATAAACCTATCCAGTATAAATAAAGTTAGTTTAGTTTAGGTTTCCTCCTGCAGTAACACTGGATCAATAAGAGATGATCCTTACTGGACATCTTTACTGCATGGATCTCGATTGAAACTGACATAAATATACAGTAATAAATAAAGTATTAAATTTAATATACACGAAACTTACCTTCTCTATCAAGGCCTTGATCGCAGCAGCCGTTAATTTTCGACAGTTGACCGACTCATCGTTCACTAGTCTCATGCAAAGTGGTAGAAAAAACAGCCCCGAGTTAATGTACACGACTTTCTGCGGAAAAAAAGAAGTATACAACGGCATTAATTTTGAATTTACTTATATTTTACACAAAAGGAACAAAGATGGAGTCTGTGGGGCTTATCGACTTTCTCACGTTTTCACAACATGCACTTTGTAAAAATTCTAAAGTGTAAGTAACTTAGTGAGCCTCACTTGAGTATTGTTTTATTCAATCTAACGCCAGGTGATTTTACTCGTCATGCAAGGGAGAGTCTTGTTATCAACGGAGTTAATCGGATGAAAAATGTATTCACATAGAAAGAAAAATGAAGAAATAAAAAATAAAGATCTACCTCTGGAAAGGAGTTGACAATGGATACCAGCATTTCCAGGGTCGACTCTCGACCACTAGAATGTTCATATCTAAACGAGACATTTGTATAAATGAAAAACGGATTCGTATTCAAGGGACGGACCATTTGATTTTTGATTGGGGGGAGGGGGCTTTTTGAAAGTGCTCGACTTTTTTTCTGGCCTCATCGACTCCGCATGATATTTTTCCCAAAGTCGATATTTTTTATCAGTTCCTGGTATGCTAGATATTTTTTTGGAATTTACGCCCCTCCACCATCAAAAATCAACTAAATTTATTATTAATATACTAAAGAGGTCATGCACACGGAAGCCATCACACCCCCAAAGTTACCAAAACAGGAAATCTAAACTAAACTAATTCTAATTGTAGGTTATTTCTATCAGTTCGGCTTATATATTTCCACGCGGTTAAGACACAAACCACGACAGCTTATAGTAGAATACTATCTACACTGGACCATCATATTTGAGATTAAGTCAGACACAAACAACGGCAGCTTATTGTAGAAATTGCCCACACTGGACCACCCGTTTGAGAAACCTTTTTCACGGGTAGTTCATACACAAACCACAACATCTTATTGTAGAATACTACCTACACTGGACCACCACGTTTGAGATGTCTTTTTCAGGTAGTTCAGATACAAAACACGACAGTTTATTGTATAATACTACCTACACTGGACCTCGACTCCTACGAACTGGGGCCTATATTTAAGTGCACAAATGAAAAACTTACTCAAGTTGACTGATAAAAAATTGCAAGTAACGTTTCAATTTTTTCCCCAGCGGATAATCCAGTAAATATTGTAATAGAACCTAATAGAAGATATCAAATATATATTTCATATTAGGAAAAATTGTTTGACAAATTGTTGTTTAATCACTACTTGAGTTCAGTAGCGTATCGAGATCAGTATATCCCACTGACCTGTCTACATTGGAGTCTAACGGTCGATGATTGATCCGTCACAGACAACTCAGCCACCTTAAGCATCACGTCGTTTATCTCCGACGCTTGTAGTTTACGAGACAAAATTGCCTGGAAGGAATAAAGAATGAATTTGCAAGAGATTAATATGGCGTACACGCGTAAAAATGTCACCACTTGCCAAGCTTATCAACACGTCGCGACATAGTCTAGTAAGATATGATGGTCTCGGACCGGGCGAACCCGGCCCCCCTCCCCCCAATCCCAATGGGCAAAATGGGGGCCCCCGGCTCAAACTGCAGAGCAAAACCCTTCGCCAGGGCCTCTGATATGTCACAATGTCGTTTTCTGACCATCAGAATTCTGTAAAATCTCGGCCCAAAGTCCGGGAAATGGTAATTCAGAGAGTCTAGATTCAAAAGGATTTCCGGGTGAACATGCCCTGGACCCCCAGAAAACTCGTGCATATACGGCGCTCAACTCGTGCCTTTGGCACTTCTACCAGGGGGCCTTCGAAAATTTTGAACCGGCGGCCCCCTGATATAACGTTACGCCACTGCTGGAATTCCTGAAAACTTCAAAGCCAGAAAATAGAAGAACTTGTTTGATGTTGAACTGTACCTCACCGTGCACAAATCCTTTGTCTCAACTTTATTAAGTATTATTCATTGTGACTGCACGTTTCATCTCAGCTATCCCTATTGGACGATTACTTAATTATACGAAAATACAACGAGCTCAATCACCGTGACCGCGCACAAACTCAGACAAAAACATATAACAAACAAATCTGTTTAGTTTACAGATCATCATATCCTGATTCCTGATAGACTAGATGGTCGCAACAATGTTGACAAGACAACTACATATTACAGGAATGAAAACCTTGCACAGAGGTAGAAGGCACAATGCGCTATACCAACAACCCATCCTCGTTCCCAGGGCTTCTTGGCTGCCAACGCAGGCAGCCGAGAAGCCCTGGGAACGAGGATGCCGACAACCCCGTTTTGATAAAAAGGACGACATAATTTTACCTTGAGCAAGGGAAAAGCGCTGCTTTGTCGCGTGTAATCATGTATATCTTCTTCAACAAATGTGAGCAGAATCTGAAAATATGAAATAAAATGTTTGAACTAGGATATAATTCTTAAATAAATTCATTTTCCTTCATGGACAGCTCAGAACTAACGACTTTTGTTGCTCACTGAAATTCTCTCACTCACCCTAAGTTGTCTTTCTGTCACTTTAAGCTCGGTAAAATCTCGGATCAGAACTGTGATTGTCTGAAATATTTAATATTCACAGTTATTATTATTCGAACATTATTTACCCCTTATTATTATTCGAATATTCGATAATCTGGCCAAACAAGTTAGCTAACTATACAGTGATCACTATATACATACCTTAAATGATGATAATACCATTTCATAATTATCGCCGGACGCTCCCCCCGTCCGGGCGTGATTCTTGAGTAACTTGAACAAGCGACTGGCTATATCAATGACATGTGTCTTGAATGAAGGCAGGGGGAACCGGACGACCCAGCATAGGCATCGCAGTGCTATTGTTGTTATCTAGAAAATGCATTGGTGATTTTAGAAGCGTCCAGTATAATAGCGATTCTGAACCATAGATATCTTATATACACTAGATAGTGCATCTAATTATTCTGCAATTCAAAAATTGAAGCTGTGATTGCAGTCTCAGGTCGTTCCCATGAAATGAGGAGATTTGTATGTTTTCTATTTCTTAAACAGGGAACTTAAATATTAAGTTAAACCTATTACAAATACGTTTTTAAAGTATTCAAATGATGAAAGTTATTGTTGTTTTTAAGCGTTTATTAGAAAGTGGGAACGACCAACATGGCCGCTATCTATTCAAATGGGGGTAACCGCTGGAATATTCTTGGCTTCAATTTTACTAAAAGAGATGCGCTATCTAGTGTATATAAGATATCTATGTTCTGAACTGCCTGAAAAAGACATCTCAAACATGCGATCCTGAGGAGGTATTCTACAATAAGCTGTCGTTGTTTGTGTCTGAACTCCATGAAACAGATATCCCAAACGTGGTGGTTCAGTGTAGATAGTATTCTACGATAAGCTGACGTGGTTTGTGTCTGAACTACCTGAAAACGATATCTCAAATGTGGTGGTCCATTGTAGATAGTATTCTACAATAAGCTGACGTGGTTTGTGTCTGAACTACCTGAAGAGATGCCTAAAGCTCCAGTGTTGCTACTTTTCTATCACAAACTGTCTTGGTCTGTGTTTGAACTGGCTGAAAAATATCTCAAACCAATTTTACCTTGACATGTTTCGAGTTTAAGGCATCAGTCAAAATGGAAACAAATGGATCAAGCATCTTAGAGTGTTGTTCGTCTGTTGAAACTAACTTCTGCCTTTTTAATGCTGTCAACAAAAGCTAGAAATAAATAGCATTGTTCAGTATTATTAGCTCTTTCGCTTTTCAATAATGGGGCACATAAAAAATGTGTGTTGAAAATGATAACTGACTAAGCCATCCACCTCACTGTATAGCTGTATGGATTCTAAACTGTTCCCTCTAGAGATCCAGTAGGATCATCCCTTATTGATCCAGTGTTACTACATCAGGAAACTTAACTAAACTAACTTTATTTATACTGGATAGCTCAATCAGTTCTAATCCCTGGAGGTCCAGTAAGCGTCATCTCTTATTGATCCAGTGTTACTACAGGAGGAAACCGAAACTAAACCAACTTCGTTTAAACTGGACAGCTCTATTATTTCAAGACTGTTCTACTAAGAGAGCTATTTATATAAAAAAAGCTAGCATACGAGTAAACAAAACACGAGCATGTGTAGAACCGACTTGACCTCAACTTTACCTGAAGTCCAAATGTGATTAAGACATGCGTATTAGTTCTGTGACTGACTTCTGGCGCCTTGCCTCCACGTGAGGGTTGTGAAGGGATAATGTAGGTGTCTGATGGTTGCAAACGCGCATCCTGTTGATCTGTTGTCCTCTCGTCTCCCCTAAACAGAAAATAATAATCTCTGCTTGGAAAAACAACATTTTCATAACTTGCGTCCTGAATGCCCATTAAGTAAGTTTCCACAAAAATGTCCATAAGTTCTTTAGATATTGAGATGAAAAATTGATCGGATGAATGAAAAGTGAACTCTAGCTGATTGGAAAATAAATACCTTTGATGTTTCTCCAACAGAGGTAATCTCTCACTGACCAAACCGAAAACAAACACCAACATTTGTTCGGGTAAAAACACAGCGTTTTTCTGTAGACCAATGCTGACACGACGAAGTACTTCCTCGACACGGAGTGATATTTTATGATTCTGAGTCTCATCTAAGACCTGATGCAAAGCAAGAAAAAAATGAACACAACATTTATAAAAACGAGGAAAAAATTCGCTTAACTTGGCAGAATTTGGGCGTAATACTGTACCAGGGATTCTCATTCCATCTTTTACAATGGGAACTATAGGATTTGACTATTTTTGGACAGACACAAAAATGGGAAAACCCATACACCATTTAAGTCTCTCGATGTTAAGAGACTACGATACAGTCATATATACCATTATAAAGGCAGTTGTATAGTTCGACTTTTCGGAGTTTAAATAACTTCAAGGAAAGCTACGGAGCAAGTTTTGATTGAGAGTTTGTCTAAAAATATCCTGCACATGGAAGACTGCATTTTACCCTTCTCCGTTCGAGATATTTTTTCTGCTAATGTGAGTCAGTGATATGTCTGGTATATGACAGAAAATGACAAGTATTTATAAGCTACTGCATATCGCGCGGTCACGAACAAACTATCGTCGAGTTCTCATATAGCACTTGTTGTAGCTAAAGCCAACCGCACGCTTGGCTTTTTCGGCATCGTAATTGCCATGCTCACATTAGTCCTGACATACCTAATTTTAAGAATTTTTTATCACTGCACATTTTATGCCAAAAATTTCCGAATGACTAAGAAAATTTCCGAATATTCGGAAATTTTTGGCGACCCTCCCCCCCGTCGCCAAAAAAATTTTGGTCAGTGTACCATTTTAAGGGTCAAAAATTTTTTCAGGACATACCAAAAGCCAGATATTAACTAAAAATTGCCTGAATCTCATGATTTTCGTACAAAAAACATATACTATTATTTAATTCGATAATTTGGCAGTCATCATTTCAATTTCAATTAAATCATTCTCTTGTGTTAATTAACAACTTATCAAAGCAAATTTTATCACTGCACATTTTACATTTTATCACTGCACATTTTACTTTTATCACTGCACAAATTGGTTATCACTGCACACTAAAATTAGGTATG